ACGCAACAATGGATAATTCATAAAGCGCCTACAATGTGTTTGATTAAGAATGAGTGGCTTGAGTAACGAGGGAACGAGCATTGTTGGGTCAAAGACCCAACGTTCTCCCTTCCCCTATGGTTATTACAATGCCTGTTCCGTATACCATTCACAGTTGATACGAGTATTACTACGTCAGATAATACAAACTCAAACTATGCGAGAGGAAAGTTGCGTACTGGAGTAGGAAATCGTACGTTAAACAACACTGACAGAAATTGCACTTGAATTGGATTTAAACGGGATCGTAAGTAATCACAAAACAAATATTGTTTTTACGAATTATCCAATGAAGCTTAAAAACCATAGATGCAATAAACATAAAAAATTTACGCAAAGAATAAATATTGAAAAATATGTATGATACTCTTTAAATTCTTTGAAGTGGAATCTCACTCTAAAGAGTCAAACCTGTCTTGAAAAAGAATGACTTAATTTTTAATCTTTTAGAGATTTTAGAGCTTTTCAGTAAGATGCACTTTAAAAGTTTTAGAAAGTAAGAATTACTCAAGTTTATAATATACTATGAATTAGCCACAGATTTATTCTAATATTTCTAATTGTTACCTACATATATTGTTGTAATACTCTTGCAGTAAACAGTAAATTTGAAAAGTTCTTTATGTACGTACGTACATACCTGTATACTAGCGAGGCTGGTATATTGATGCGACGATGTAATAAGAGTGCAAGCCTCAACGTCGATCAGTGCTAACAACAAATACCTCCAGCCACGAGCTCGTATGACGGAAATTAGGCCATTCCCTACACCTCTACAGGACATCCACGTCGTATAGACTAAACACATCATCACGTAGTGCGGTACATTCTGCCCTATCTCGCAAAAACGATAATAATTGATTAGCTGCGCAAAGTTTCATAAACTTGAAATTGCTATAATTTAATCACTTTAACTTTCGACGCTAAAGACAGAAAACAGTTTTTAACGAATGAATAAGTTACCTGTTGGAAGCGAGAGCTTGTAAGAACCGGTGTTTATGTAATGATTTATGAATGTCATGAAGCACAACACCAGCGAGAGGAACTGGCCCATTATTATCGCCCTCCATACCGCCCTATTTGATAATTCTCTCATTAATATAATCATTGATACTTATTTTAAGAATATGTATCTTAAAATATATCTAAACATAATACTATATGATATATTACATTTGTAAACAGATTTTAATGTCTTAAAAGAATTAATAGTTTTGTATTATATTAATTAATGTTAATTAATGTCGATTTTAAAATGTCCCATAAAGATTAGTATTTAAAATTTATATATTGTGTATTAAAAGATTTATATAGGTAACTTTTTGAACACTAAATTAAAACGGTTTTTTGATAAACGCTTAAAGCAATAAAATCAGGATTAGAGCAACGAATTAGCATATAAAGAGCATTAAATTCTCTGTACATTGAGATCTGATTATGTTCATATTGGCATGCTATTTTAATAGACGTCCATTAGCACACCAACTTAAGCGGAATTAGGTCCCATGTACGGATATTTTAATGCTCTTTATGTACCAATTCATTTCTCTAATTTTGATTTTATTGCATTTAATTAATTTAGTAAAAAATTAATTTTATAACTTTAAAAAAATTAGAATGCCATTAAAAATATTAGTAATTATAATAAAAACGCTCACAATATTAATAATAATTTAATGTTAATTAAGTATATGCTTTAATAGATCGTAGTTAAAATTTCGGTACGCTACTCTCTCCACGCCTCCTCAAACAATCCTGAAATACATCGTACAAGAAAAAAGTATCAAAATTAATAAATATATAAGAACAACATTTATACTATAATTTAAGTTATATATAGAATTAATTGTGTGTATTAATTTGTTTTCTACGTGTGACACGTTTTAATGTTGTTTCAGATGTGATGGAGCACACCGAATTTTAAACTATAGAGTTACTTTAGTTGAAATTTAATCTTTTTAATATACCTACTCTAGTAGGATATATTAAAAGCAATAATTAGGACACTAAATTATGGTATAATCGTTTTTATTATTTTTGTAATTATTTTTAATGGACATTAAAACTTTTTCAAAAGTTAGCATAAAACTGATTTGTTATTAAGCGGTTAGAGCAATAAAATCAAAATTAGAGCAATAAACTAGCATATAAAAAGCGCTAAATTCTTTGTATATTTTATTGTTTTATACTCATGTTGGCAGGCTAACTTAATAGAAATGTATATTAAGCTAACATGCCAAAGTTCATCTCAGTATACGTAGGATTTAGTGCTTTTTATATGCTAACATGTTGCACTAATTCCAATTTCATCTTAATGTTTTTGTTTTTTCTACAGATTTAATTTTGTTCAAAACCAACATACTGTGGATATTATTCAGATTATTTTTATCACGATATTTTTTCACCTATTAAAAATTATGCAAGTCATCAGCACAATCGCGCAAAAAGTGTCACAATTACACCGATATTTACGCTTACAATTACTCCGTATATTGAATTGACAGTAAGATAATAATTGTGATGTTTAATTAAAAAGTGTTACACACTAATTAATTATGTTATAATTTTGACAAAACATTAATTTAGATTCAATTCAATTTTAAAACGATGAATATCGCGCGATAATAAAATAATGAATATTCAAAACGACATAACGTGGAAAAAATTCACTTTAAATTGATATTTGCAAACTTTAATAATCTCAACTTTTTACAATGCTTTACATATTTGATAAATATTATAACATAAAATTTTTGTACTTAAGGTTTGTATCAAATTAAAGTCAGATAATTAAACATGTAACAAATATAAAATATAATGTTTGAATTTTAATACATAAAATTAGACATCATCACAATTATTTCGGTTAATTCTGTCATAAAAAATAAGAAACTGATTTTCTCTAAATAAAAGTTTATTGAGATTAAATTTAAATATTTGTGGTAAGTTTAAGTAGTAACGCTCGACGCTCCGTCAGACCAATATTTCCTACATCGCGCTTTCGAGTTGACTGCGATACAGGCGAAGACATAAAAAATACCGCGTAAAAATAAACACTTAATTTAAGTGACAGAAAATGAATATTTTATAGTGGCAAATTTTTATATCAATTATATAATAATTATTGATATTATTAAAAATAGATGAGATTACTAAAATGCACATATATTAACACAAAGACCTATGAGTTTTGCACACCCAGAAATCATGCAAAAGATACATCAATACTAGTGCATTCCGAATTTTGGAAATTGTATTATCATGCGTATATTGGTTTGTTCTATTCTTATTACACTAATTTTTGAAACTCTGTCTGAAATTAAATCATTATGATTGCGTCATTATGATTACATGTCGTTATGCCAATTGCGACAAACTACGACGAAACGTAGCTAAACACCCGCCACTTTTATCCCTGGGTCATTCGCCCCCTTGCGCCCGTCCCCACCGGCTCTACTGGGCGGCACAGGGCGGAAAACACACGCAAAGGCTCCTGCGAGCGTCTAAGACGACCACCCCTCTGTTTACTCACGTACCATCGGCCCAACTCGGATATGTAATTTTCGATTTTGTCGCAGACTCCATTCCTGGCCTGCATTGCCGAATTTTGAGCGCCGTGACGATTGCCCGCCGATCCTCCCATGCCATGGTGCATTTTCACCCTGAAGGCTCCTCGCCGGCGAGCAAGTATACTGATTCCATGCGCTTGCGCGACCTTCTTCCGCTGTCGGTGCGGAGGGACACGCCGTTACTCTTGTTGCTCCTCTCTCATTTTCCCGGGGGTGCGTGTCGCGACGAGAAATGCGAGATTTTACTATACCGCGATAGACATCGATACGACACGGCGTCATAACGTCGCGCGAAATTCCGGCCAGCGCTTCATCAATCTCAAAATCGATTAAGAGGAGCGAAATCTTTTCCGATTATATTCTCTTTCCGATATTATTTAGATAAAAATAAAAAATTTTGTAATAATATATAGGTATATAATATATAATTATTATTATTATTGGATTAGAGGAAAAGTTCAAATAACTTGTAGATTTTAAAATATTTTTTACATGTTTTTAATATATTTGTAAATTTTAATATATTTTTTGAGTCTCTTTGTAAAGATAAAGCTACTTGAATTTTAAATTAAATTAAAAAAAAACTGATGCGCGTATAAGGTTGAGGAGAAATCCTGGTATAACGAAATAAAGAAGTGTCTTTATTTATTATTAGATAGTCCTGCTGTAGAATTTTATTTACAATATATTGACATTCTCTCTCAGATATACTGTAAGCTCGCAGTCATATATAATGTCCAAAAAGTTCCCGCTTTCATATTAGTCAGAAAAAGATTTGCACATTACATAAACTTTAAACAGCTTTAATTTTATTTATTCTATTATCATATATCTCAAACTTGTTATCGCTGCATAAAATTATACAGTATAGATTATCCGACGTATGAAAGGAGGCAATATTGTAACGCTATGAATATGTAAATTTGTGCAGTCGGGTTCCGCCGTTTCCATCGATTTAACAATAACGTACCGCCGATCGAAGGAAATCAAGCTTTGTCAATAATTGCTATCTAATATTAGAAATATAATCTGAAAGAGGAAATTGCGCCGGTTTTAATGATACGACGGTTTATGCGATTTTTTACAAAGTTGGAAAAATATGTTCAATTTTATTCCTCCGATGCGGTATCGAACATGAATTTTTCTGTAATCCTCATTACACACAGTACGCAGTTAATGCATTACATTCACACGTCAGAAAGTCTACTAGTTAGCCGAAATAAATTATCAAGTGGAAAACAGAGGCATAAAAGTTTACAAGATAAAAATCTTTTCTTTGTCGTTATGAGGTAAGACGTAGAACTTTCGAAATTTGATTTTAAATGAGTGCTGACTCCTCTCTCGCACTCTCTCTCTCTCTCTCTCTCTCTCTCTCTCTCTCTCTCTCTCTCTCTCTCTCTACTCTCTCTCTCTCTCTCTCTCTCTCTCTCTCTCTCTCTCTTTCTCTCGATGAGCAAAAATTTATGCTAAATTATCGAAGATACTGTTCGATGAGGAGAGTCTTCTTTGTCAAGTAAAATCGATCGTTTCTATTGGTCATCTTAATTAGAGTTATATTTAATTTTATTTTTTCTTGGCCTCTTCTTCTACCGTCTCGTTCTGCTTGCGGAAGCAATCGCCTACCGGGAAGAAGTCCAAGCACCTTTGTTGATACATATTCCACACGTAAGTCTCTTGACCAGTGTATTCGGTGTCTGGTTTGTTAATTAAGTGCATAAGGAAGAACCTGTTGTGGTTTAAAATATATAATATAGAAATTGATGATTTAAAAATATGTGTATCATATAGAAATTGATAATATAAAGTTCTTTCTAATATATGTCTCATTGTAAAATTAAAAGCATAAAATATTTATAAAAATTTACATGTAATTTGCTAAATTGTGCTCTTGTTGCACGTGAGTATCGAACCCATGCGGCACCGCGTCGAAATATTCTTTTCCTAAACCGCAAATGAAGCAGTTACTCTCCATATTTGTCTTTACGCTGTCGAGCTGATCTCGAAGTTCGCCGAATGCATCGATGATCAAACCTAAGGATCAATTGCAATGTAATTATCATACTCTTTTTCTGCTGCAAATAGGGGGTCAATCGACTATTCTCACCCTGAATGATAGCCAACAGAATGACGATCACGAAGAAGAAGAATGTGATGTCGAACATTATACGATAAACCTCGTAATCGTCACCGTCGGGTTCACCGATCTCATCGCCTATACCACCACCAGCTCTTACGCCTTTGTACAAGTGAAAAATGAAGCACTGAAAGGAAATATAGAAATACGTCAACAGCTCTAAATTAAAATAACATAAGGGTTAAAATTTATAAATAATATATGTATATTATAATTAAATAAAGATTTTTTTTACGTATTTCTGCCGTAACATACCGTTAGCATATGATGACATTTCTTGTCTGTTTCGTCGTCTTCCTCCTGTATATAGAACTTTCTGAAGAAATTGAAGGCTATTACAGTGTAGATATATACTACGATTGTCAGCAGCATCACTGTTAAGACTAGTTGCTTGCCGTTATGTGTTACTGATTGCAAGATTGTTCGTAAAGTTTTGAAACCGACCGCGACGTCTAATAGGTGAGCAGCGAAGAAGAAATTGTTGTAGTTGCCGAGGATTGAAAATGTAAAGTACCATAAACTGTATAAAAATGCCTAGAAATCAAATATACACATGTAGGCATTTAATTTAAATAATTTACATATATAAATATGCATTTACATATAAAATACAAGAATTAAAAATTTATTTGAAAAAACTTACGTTATCGGTGATCGTGACTCCAGCTTTCCATATTTGATATCTCCAATCGATATTCACAATGCTACAAAAAATTATTTTTAACATTAAAGAATCTCATGGAAAGACTTGAGATTACAATATCTACTTACAAATGTATTAAGCCAGATCCTTCTTCTTCCTGCTGGCTGAAAGAAGTCTTTTCCATTCCGAGCAAATTGCTAATATAATCAAAATCGTATGTCTCGCTGTATTTTTGTCGGACTTTCTTCTTTACGAACTTATCCCAATAGTTCACTGGGAAAGTCTTCGCTGATATCACCATTTTATCCCAGTGCGCCTTAATGTCGTCCTCTTCCGGCGTTTCGGCTATGTATAATCCATCGAATTCTACTCGTCGTGCAATTTCCTTCTCTCGTTTGAATATAGCCAATGGTACCTAAATATAAATATTTTGTAATTTTAATTTTTTAATTACGATAATTATATATATCTACCATTGCATTTTTATCAAAATCTTTTGCGATAGAAAACATTATCGAAAGAAAATATTAAAAATTTAATAACTTAAATATTGTATAGTTAAATATTATATTGTTATTATTTGTGTTTCAAGAGTTTTAAATACCTTTAGATGATAATACGCGACTAGCATAGCGAGTGAAACGATTGAATGAAGAGCAGCCAGTAATCTCATGACATGAGCCATATAATAATAATCCTCAGCCACTTCCACAAATTCTTGAACTTCTTCGTCTTCCTCTTCCGAACCATTTTCACCACTACCGCTGCCTATTTCCATGCCACTACCTGCCAAACCCGATGACCCCTCGCCTGATATTTCCGTTAACAAATCCGCTATTTGTCCACTACCTTCTTTGTCCGAGTCATCAGTCAAAGACGTAACCTAGATTTAAAATCAACATACACATTTAAAAAAATGATATATATACGAAGTTCGAATAGAATCTTTGATTTTTATCATTTACGTGTTTACACAGAAAAAAATATCAGAAAATTTTGATCAACCTTATAGAATAGCAGCATAAAGTTGATACAAAAGGCGAGAACTAGCGCGACGTATTTCAGATTGTAGAAATTCCTGGCCAAGAAAGATACTATACGATGACTGTATTGGGACAGATCGATGCTCGATCCTGTAGAAGGTTCGACTGAAATTTCTTGCTTTGCTTCGGCTTCAACTGCTGCCATAGCTGCTTGTTGAGCCGCCGCTGCTTCTGCCGCTGCGGCAGCTTGCGCTCTGGCTTGTTCTCCACTAAACAAATATTATAACAAATCATTTAAATAACGAAAAAAAAAAATAATTTTACAAACAATTTGTTCATTTATGATTATTTAAATTTAATTAACATACAGTAAAATTTAAATATTGTATGTACGATGGTAATTGTTTCGGAGAGAGAGCGAAATTTTATTTTTATAATCAATGGTATCTTACGATCTAATTATCTTAGCTACATGATTCCGCGCTCATTAGAAACGTTAAAGTTTCAGCTTTTCAACGCAACCAGGATCATTTCGATGCGATTTTTCTGCGCGAAGATATTAACGATTGTATCGACTCATGATTTATAGGCGGAGCTGCAGACGTGGGCCCCATTCACCTGTTCGCGTCGCGAAGCAAGCGATCACTATTGGTCAGCTGATCAGCTGATCGTATAGTAGCAAGTAGCGTAGTAGCGTAAACATCACACATACGTGACACACACGCACGCACCGCGCTTATTCAAAATTTAGTGCGCGTCCCTTCAGAGCGCTACAACATAAAAAATTATCGTAGCGACATGCGATAAACGCGAATTTTTTTCGTTTTGTGCTCTACAAATGCCTGTGCGAAATAAATACCGTAAAATTTTGGTTCAAATTTTGACAATGTTCAAACATCATGTTAAAATCTAGATATAAGACGTCTGAAAAACGTCTTGAAAAATATTTTGAGTTATCTTATTTTTGATTTTTTGGACGTGCTTACTATCTATGCATTTTAAAAAAATTTGTATTAAAGTTTCTCATTTTGCGATACATTTTTTATCATGACACGTAAACTTAAATATAGCGTAAAAAAATAAAACTAGAATTATAAAATAACAAGAACTGTTAATAAAAGTATTAGAAACATTAAACACATTATTACTGATTAATTTTATGCATTATTTAATTATCTTTTAGACTAATATATTTACATAACGCGTTTATTATACTCTACTAACCCGAGTAGATCAGCTAAAGTAACAGGCTGTTCGCTTTCTCCTCCTTCAACTTTCGCTCCCTCCTCGGCAGTACCCTCGTCGGGTGTACTCTCACCCGTTTCTTCGATACTGGATTGCGGCGTAGAAGTAGTCGATTCGTGCGGTGCTAATTTTATCTGCCCTCCTTCTTCTTTTGTTATATCCATTCCGAAGGCTTGCACCTATACAAGCGGATTTGTTAAATAATATGTATTTTTTAGTGCTGTATTAACATAATTTATTGAGAAAATTTTACTTGTAAATTCGATTCATCCGGTGTCGGTGGCAAAGCGGGTAAATGTCTTGACGGTTTCTCTTCCTCTTCCTTGACTACAACAGGCTCCTCCACATGCGGTCCTCTCATTAATGTCAATAGAAGTCTCATGAAATACTTAATTACGCAGCCAAAACCAAAGCCAGAATAATAAAAGGCATAGAAGATCATCTTGAAGAAACCAATGAAGAGCTCGGGTATCGTCATCTGTTGCATTTCAGCGATCTTATTCTTAATATTGGTAGGCGAGAACATATAAAAGAAAAAGTAAACACCATCTTTGATAGCTTGTATACTCCGCCTGATTGGATCTTTATTTCTTTCTTCATCATCCTCAGTCATGTACGTGTACGACGATTCTCTTGCTTTGCCAATTCCGCCGCTTTCCTCTACGGTCATCAACGCACTCGCGTGTTGCATTTCAAAAATAGCGTCCTCGCAAAAGTTGATGAAGGTTTCAAGTTTCTCTTTTTCGCCAGCCTCGACTACCGTGTTATAGAAGTAGGTCTTTTTCGATTCTTTAATTTGCGGCTTCTCCCACTGTTCGATGTTCGACTCTTTGATCTCGAAGTACACGCGCTCAATTTTCTTGTTGCCACCGAGGATCTCGATTCTGCCTAAGAATGGCTCGAAGTAATTCAGAACAGAGCCGGCTGTCTCAAGGAACCTGGCTAGTCTCGGTTCGTTAGGCATGTGTTCGGATAGATTGGTGAGCAATACAGCCAAATTGAAACCAATTTCCTTCGCCGGCTCGTGGAAACGATCCATGAAAGCGACATAATCAATTTTGCCGTCATGATTTGTCTCGCAACATGCCAGGAGAAATTCAATTTCTTCGCTGAAAACATTTAAAGAATAAAAATTTAGATTTTTTAAATCTCAAGATCATAGAATAATTTAATTTGAAGAATATTAGGTAATGGGTAATTTTGCAAATATAATACTTGGTGTAACTCTTCTGCTGTTCCATCTTTTCCTTGAAATCTTTAGGATACACCCAACCGTCATTGTTAAGATCAACTTCCAGGAAACTCGGTGATGATACAAGATCTTTTAATTTCAAGAACATGTCGAAATACTTCAAAATCAGTTCTACGTTACTAGCCGACTCGACCAAAGTATCTACCATCTGTTTTCCAATTGTTCCGTTCACGACATTACCTTTAAATCACAAACATGAATATTGACTACTTTCATTTTCTTAATAAAATTGAAAATAAATATATACCTTCCAGCATGGAAAGCATCATGGTAATCATGTCTTTCTGCAAGTTAAGCAATTCTTTCAGAAGATCCACCTGGCTGGAGTGTTTCGACAGTTTGTCTTGCATATGCGAGAATAAGAAAAGGAAACCTCCAACTGCGTCCCACAATCTTGAATGTGCTAAAGCTTGTTGATTCTGTGCGCATGGGCCTTGAATAACCTCAGTGAGGGTGTTAAAAACTTGACTAGCAACGCCAATAGCTTTGAAAAAATTTGCTTTGCCGGCAGGATCGATGAGTTCCTTACTCGAATAATGCCAGTAAAAGTCCATGATCGATTCCTGCAATCGCAGTAGGTAATCGACAGTGCAAATGACCACATTCACCGTCGTCGTATTACCAGCCTGTGTCCTGAGGTAGTTCTGCCAATCTATTAAATAAACAGAATAAATGTCATTTGATCGAATTACTTTTAACAGTAATAATGTTCCGTTGAACACAAATAGTAATATGACATTAATAGGTATTATAATTTCCTACTCAACAAAGTATAATAACTGTTGTGTACATATGTGTTATAACTACTTTTATGTTGTTAAATGAGAAATTATTACTATTATTCATGTAATGTTATTATTAGTTTATGTTCAGCGGAATAATACTTGCCGAGATTGTGACCCTCGCAGGTGAGTTGGATAAAACGGAACAAAGCACAAGTGAATTCGGCGTCGTGCATATTCTTCTCACCAGCTGCACCCTCGGAACCAACACCGAGACCCTCAGCTTTCGTATTCCTCTCGAAAGCGTCGAGATCCAATACGCTGCAAGAATTCATTAAACCTGCGATGGATGTGAAGAAACCGACATCCTTTTTCTCTTTCAAATGATTCAGCATCCCTCGCTGAATTTCGATATTACCGCCACGCAGGATCGAAATTCCAAGTTCTAAAGTCTTCATTACCATCTCGCTTGGAATGCCTTTACACGCTGATATGTGCAGGAGGACCATTTCGGCGACGCCACGATTTGCTAGACGAGCTTGGTGGAACAAGAGTTTCTGTTTCTCCATTTCTTGCTCCTATAATTACAAAACATAATAAAAATGTTACATGAAAATAAGACTTGCACATCATAAATTTGATAAATATATATAATATATATTTAATAATTATATAAAATGTACCACTTTAAACCAAGCATGTAATAATTATTATAATATTAAACTTTTCTAATTAAAAATTGTATATAATTATTTTTATTTTATATACATTGCTAATTAGATTTTATGATAAAAAATGTTCATTAAATATAATACAATTATATCTTACCATCAATTTATGCATTGGCCTCTTCAGAATTACATTAAAAGAAAAAGTGCGTTGTTTAATTGTATTGTTAGTAATAGAATGATGGAAGGAAAACAATCTTGACAGCCTACGATGTTTTGCTAGCTCATGAATGATATTATAACATATTGTTTTTATTTCGATGAATAAAATAATGTACAATTCAACAAATTAGGGTGTTACAATATGGAAAACACATATGGTTAATACTTTGGACTGCGAGCATATTAAGCGGATGAATTCTCGCACTAACTACTTATTCTTACCGTAAATAGTTTATGTCTCCGCTTTTAGTAAGTTAGAAAAAAATAGGGAATTTATTAATGCGGTAGACTGATTTATAGTGAAATTTTAAAGAATTCTATTATTTTACTTGAATTATTATCTATTATCAGACGAATAATTATCAATCAATGATGCTTACATGGATCGAAGCTCCTCCTTCTTCTTCACCTCCACCTTCTTCTTCACCTTCTTCCTCTTCCTCGCCGCATGATTTTGAAATAATTTGAGCATAACTCATATAAAGCGGATCTTCTTGAAGAGCGCCTGATCGTTCAGTCATAGCACCGCGACAAAATGTTGTCACTAATTGTGTCAACGGATCGGGCTTGCCTTCATCCTCAGCCTTATCCATTTTCTTCAACTCAGCATCTTCGAACGATTGCTAAAAGAAAAAATATAATATTAACATTATTTTTAATTTTATGTTAGTTCAATCAGCGTAACTTATAATACACCAAAATTCCCTTTACGATAGGTTTTTCATGTTTCAGGTTAATTTCATTTTTAAAAGTATGATATATAAAAAGTATTAAGTAATCTTATAAATAATATCTTTAGAAACTATTTTTAAAATAGTCTTAAAACAAGAGGGGATACCTTTATTTAAAGTGCTTCTAATATTTCAAAGAAAAGAAATGCGCAGAATACGAATAACTGAATCATGTGTACTAAAGGTTCAATAATGTAAGCCATAATTACCGTAAGATCCTCGATCATAACTTCTTGACCGACATTTTCATCTTGTAGCCACAACTCATAATACGTTCGCGCAAAAATATTTATTGCTCGATGCCTAAAAAAATTAATTTAGATAATTAAAATATTATTTGAAGGAACATATAGAGTAGAGATTAATTTGAGTTAATCATACCTTCTCAATTTATACAGAGGTTCACTACGCAAACATGCAATCGCTGCTCTTTTTCTAGCAGCGCACAACACGCGTTTCCATCCATCTCGCGATGGCGGCGGCTTTGTCGCCTGTTAGCGTGCAGGTAAACAGCAAGCGCACTCATTAAATCATTAACAATTACTGTCATTAATTATTGCAATTAATGTTACATAATATATAACACTCAATACTGATTGATTCTTATTGCCTAATTATTTCTCTCTTCGATTAACAAACAGCAAAATAGTTAATAAATTCTACATAAATCAATAACATAAAATATACCGGCAACACTTTAACTTAAGATAAAAATGTGGTGATACAAAAAAAATTAATAATGCTGTGAAATCACAAATAAAGCAAAAACATAACTAAATAGCAAGAAGGATACCTTGGCAAGGAATGTAGGGAAGTTTGGCGGAAGCAAGCGATTACCGCTCGTTTACGCTGGATCGACACCACTGAACGATACTGACTCTTGCTCTGCTGTTGTGGATGATCTATCTACTCGAAAACAAAAGTACGGAATGAATACAATGAATACTTCGGCGCGACTTAAAGAAACAGAAAAATGATGATATGATGAACTGATTCCAAAAATAGCGTTTGCAATTCCAGTTGATTACGGAAACATTGATATCAATAGTAAATTAAAAAAAGTTACAAAGCTCCGAAGATGTTTTCTTCAGTACTTCAAATATTTACAAAATTTTGAAAATTACTACTGTACAATAACGTCGAACACAGCTTTATAACTAACCATATGTAAACCATATAAGACTTTGGCCATGTCGGTGATTCTAGCAACGACATCTTCCAACTGTTGAGCTTTTACAGGCTCCATTACGTCTTTTTTCTGACCTAATTTAGAATATAGATAATGTTGCCAAGACATTTCATCGGCAGGGTCGATCTTATCCGGTAGTGTCAGTTGAGTCTTGGCAAATTCCGAGATATCAGATTCCGGCATCTTTTTCAGGAATCTGTCTTTACAATGCTGCACTAGTTCCTGTTCGCGACCAGCGAAAAGATTTAAGCCGACGGGTAGCAATCTCTTCAAGCAAGCGACCATCAAGGATGCTTGTACTTCCTTGTCCTTGTCTCTCTTCTTGTCGCGATGCTTCTTCTTTTTCTAAATACGAAAGAGATACTTAATCATTTGATCTTACGATTTTTTAATTAAATATAGCAAAATCAAATAGCCCCGGAAACAAGCTGACGTATTTGTCGTTATTGATATCACTCATTATCTTTAACGTGATTTTAATGTAAAAAAAGTAGCAAATAACGTTAGCTTAATTATTTTGCTGTCAAGTAAATAAAATAACTTATACAAACCTTGCCTCCTCCGGAAGGTGCAGTACCATCAGACACTGCAGCAGGTCTTCTTGTTGCAGTGGGCATGATGAGCACCATGTTATCAATTTCATTCGCGGATATAAAATTCTGCTCTTCGCGTAAAAAGTATTGTGACTTGGACCAAATGTTAAATATAGCTGCTACATGATTGTACAGATCTTCGGCTTCAGAAATATTGTTCCTCAGCCAATGATTCCTTTGAAGATCGACGTACTTTATCAATAGAGGATAGAATGAGTAAATATCGCGCACGAGTAATTGCCAATCTTCTTGAATCTGCGCCTCAACTTGCGAGGTATCGTCAGTCGAAGATTTAATGAAGCCCCGAAGAGATTCCTCTTTGTGGAACATTGTGTCCGTTCGTTTTCTGACGCGTTCTGCGAGAGGCAAAAATGGATCCTTTAATAACTCCTCGGACGAATTGATAATGATTTGTTGCGTATAGGCCGCAATGCGCGTCATCCACGGTGCGTTTTCATTGCCGATGTTCTTCTTGATCAACTTCAGCACGTTTTTCAGCAATTGATTCATGTGATCACTTGTTACCATACTCACATAGGTACCCTCAGTCGGATTCACATTGTCAGGCCCTTGCGCCCACCAAAATGGCAAATAAGAGCAGAGTAAAGGTAGAATTACGTCGACGACGTGAGGAGCATCGTTGTAGGTTTTTTCGGATTCGACAAACTGATCAACCTCACTAAGAATAGTCTCCAAGGTTGGCATACTTGATTCCATCTTTGTCATGATATCCTGAGCTTCCAGAGAATGATCCGCGATTCGATTTAAAAGGGAATACTGATTGTGCTTATTTAAATGAGGCTCTAAGAAGGCCACTGGAAAGCAGCTTGAAAAGGCGCCCAAGCAGGAGCCTAGATTAGGTTTATGTCGCTCGATCTCAGTCTTCAGGTACTTTCTATCATGCGTTAGACTAGCGTCTATTCCGAGAGTGTACAGAGACGCCAACATTTTATACGATGCTACTTGAATTTCGTCAACTACGTAAAACGAAGAATATGAGTAAATTAACAGACAAATTTCGCGCACGTATTCATTAATTAAATAAAAATAATTAAATATAATTATTTTTAGAATAAAAAAATAATAAATTGTTATTTTCTGAAACAATAAAACAATCGCAATATAGTCACTTGGTTAAACAGCGAAGAGACATACATCAATTCTCTACCAAAAAGTAGGGAATAGCTCATTCTTTGTCCACAACAGAGAATTTTTCAATAACTGCAGAAGATGCAGTTCATCCAACTATTAGCGGACTATTGTAACATCATGGATTAAGATCTTTTTATATTCAATTATTACTGAAAATGGTCTGAATGAGGACCGAAACGTCTAATTTTTTTAATTTTTTAATTAAATATATTATTATAATTATGCCCTAATTATTGCACTGTATTGATGTTCTCATTTCCCTGATATTGTGATTGTTTTATTGTTTTTGAATCTTAAGAGTCCTAGATTAAAATTATTGTTTTTGTTATCTTCTAAGTAATGTGTTATTTTTTAAAATTAGTAATAATAATTTTTACAAAAAGAAATGATGATAATATATGATAAAGTATTATTTCTATATATGTAAAATAACGTTCCCAACCCTGAATTTATTTTAACATTAATTTAATTAATTTTGGTACTGTAAATACTTACGTAACAAGTCACTGCCGTATTCGCACGCAGCAAGATGGTCGAACATCGCAGTGAGCACTGACAGAACCACACTATTGATGTACGATAATGATGTGGAGGTTTTCAAATGGGTACCTCTGAGATGACTATATTTCCCTTCTTGAAGGTTCAGAATCGTGTGACCCAGATCATCGGCGGTATTGTTGAAGAAAGTCAACATGGATGTTCGGATGAATTCAGGACAGTTCTTTACGAGACTCTTAGCGTCTATACCTTTTACTAGCACTTGCAGGCAGCGAACCGTTATCCTAACATCCGCGCCAAAGGCGGCGAGTCTCGATCTTAACAAACTTGCTAACTTACAAAAAAGAGCAGCTACCATCTCCTTCTCTTTCAACGACGCTGCACCAACGTTGTTCGTGGCGGTAGCCACAGCGATAAAGTAGTTTCTATGCGTGCTAAAATACTTTTCCATTAGGGGAAGGACCACTTTGCTGAAGAACTTGATGTCTCTTGTCGAGGTTTTGAAACTGTTTCTTCGGCTGAACGTGTCGGAGGGTTTCAAAAGCTTCATATTGATCGTCGCCTTGTCCAAATAAGCTATCAACTTCTCTAATAATGAATAAGCGAATCTTAATTCTACCGCAGCAACTGCGCCAGCCAATTCGGTTTCTGTACCGCCGCGATTAGGTTTGTGAAGTTTATAACCTTGATATTGTAAATATTTGAGAAACTCTTGCGATCGCTCACGATCTTTCCGTTTTTCTTTGTCGGTTAACAGATCGTAAGGTACCAGCTGAGGATGAATACCACCTCCTGTAGCCATAAGATATTACGAAAATATTATTTAACATATAAATTAAATTTTAACTCAGACCTTAATTAACATTAACGTGAATTATAATTTCTCCCTCAACAATGTAGCTTATAATTTAATAGATATATTACCATATATCACAGTTATATATTGTTGAATGAAAACTTTTAATTAATAGTTATATCATAGTTGGTGTTTGCTGGAAATACCGAGAGAGAGAGAGAGAGAGAGAGAGAGAGAAGAAATAAAAATTGAGATCATTAAATTATAATTTATGCTAACCACAGGTAGTAAGTTCTTCTTTCTTCTTCTTTGCCCAAATATCATGAGCGTTATCTGCTAAACGTTCAGCCATGTTCTGCATTTCTCTGCTCAGCGTCAGATTAGTCATGTCCACCGGATGAGGATTATAGTTAAACGGATTAGCCGAGTCCCCCTACATATTTAAAAAATATATATTTTTTTTTCTTTTATAGCTATAATAAATTTTGCGAATAATTTCTAACTTGACTCTTAGAAGATCTTCTCATCGAACTACGATTGGTCGACGGTACATCAACCTCCGCATGCTCCACGCTCCAACCAATTGCTAGGAGAGCTTTCAAGCTCTCTCTGACAGGTTCCTTGTATCGCTCTCGTTCGTAATCACTCAACATGTTATACGGTTTCAATCTCGGATGAGTTTTATTCACGTCCGACCACTGCTCGCCGTAAGTCCAACCGTTCTCTAACTTACGACTAGCCCAAGCATCGTGATAATGTTCAGAGAATTTTTGTACTATTTGATTAAGATCGTTATTGAGCACCACGCTAAAAGAAAATAATGAAATATTAAAATATTCAAAATCACAGATCTTCCAATCTTACAATTATTAATAATTTTCAAATGATTAAAATTTTATTTATGATTGCTATAATAATTTTTTAATAATAAAAATTAATAATTAACCTAGAAGTGTTGATTGGCTGCGGATTGTAAGGACCATCGGGTGATTGAGTCGAAGCCGATTTGCTGCCATACCATTCGTCATCGTAATTTTTCGATAGAGAGTAATCTGGCGGCAAAGCGCAACCGATTGCTGTCAGGCAAGGCAGTGCTTTCCCAAATAATTCCGGATCATAGTCCATCTTAGACAGGGAATCGAATATATTGCTAAAGAGGACCATCGTGAGACGTTTCTCTTCATCGCTCGACGCACCGTAAACACCTTGACCGGTGGAGCCAGTGGAACCGTAATATTTCGCGCAACGATCGTAATGCAGCGTTAACAACTAATAACACAAAAATTAAATTATGCAGTAACGAAGTTAACAATAGAGGCTTTGTTTACCAAAATTTTACGATTGTTAATTTTTAATAGTTATCTATATTCTGAAAAAATTAATTGTGAAAATAGTAACATATGACGTACTCTGAGAGCTACTGTAGTGTACTCTGATAATTTAGACACATCGACAGTCAGTTTTCGTAACAATTTCAACAACATACTCGGCTGCATTTGACTGCAAAGAGAAATTCAAGTTAATCCATAGAACGTAATTTGCAAATTTGTGAAGATTATATTTAACTAAGATAGAAAGCGATTATTTTTAATCTCAGTTGTTTAAACAATAGCGTTGAAATTTATAAAACAAATAAACATTTTTCTCTTATAGTATCGAAAGAATAGCAAAGAATTCGATTTAGTTTGAAAAATTTTTCGCTTACCTAGTCAACGCTACAAGGAAATCCGAGACAGCTTCACGTTGACCCTTCGTCAGCATCCGGTTTTTACTGAGCCGGTAGACTGTGTGCAATGTGGCGTCGAGTAAACTTGCGTAATTGTCCGCCTCGTTGTAAAATTTGGAATGCTTAATTAACAACGGCAAAATGCTGTTTCCTATGTAACGATTCATAGCGAGCGACATTTCGGATTCGTAGCCGTCGTTCTGTGAAACGAAAAATTAAATCAGACGATATAAAAATATTACAATTTGCGATTTTTAAAAAAGTATTAACTTTATTAAATTAATAAAAAGATTAATTGGCAAAAAAAAATTTAAATGATATTACGCGAGATACATAGACACAATGTGATCCGTACTCTGTCGAGCATAGTGGCGGCGCGAAGATCCGGCAAGAAAGCTTCCTCCAATATTTTGTAGAATAATTCTTGCGTTTCGATACCATAAACACGTTCGAGAAACAGCACAATACTTTGCTTGTGCCCTGGTATTAAACCAGACGGTGTATCGCTTTTCGGTCGTTCCTCACCGGCAGCGGGATTGAGCAGTGTGAACCGCAAAGACAACACACCATGAAGATCGTCCAAGGGTACTAATGATCTTAAGATCGCCCGGGCTCGAAGAGATTCGTTCTTCCCTGAAATAATTGCAGGGCTTTAAACAAATGGGCATTGTTTTTATGATACTAATATTCTATCAAAGCAAAATTTCGTTTCGTATATTACCGACGGATTTTGTGGAGGCCTCTGTTGGTCATTAAGAAAGAAATAAACGATTTTTATTAGATTCGTTATCGTTTACGTAAAGTTTTCGAGCAATTTTATATGGAAAATATATACGCGAACAATGTAATATGATGATATGAAATATAAAATGATTCGAAAATTTAATAATTTTTCAATACTCTCTCTCCCTCTCAATAATTTCTTTAAAAAATCATAATATCATGATCTTACGATATATATTTCTTTTTTCCAGCTTTCTATAAAAAATTCTATAATGTTGTTTAGCATACTATTTCATTATCTATCAATGATTTGAATTTGAAGAAAATTATATATTATGAGAAATTATTTAAAATATTAATTACTTACACATTTTTATATTTTATATTAAGCAGTTATTTTAAGTAGCGGACATAAAAAATATACACAAAATCAGTAAATTTAAAATATAACTATTTTTGTGAATTTGATATTAATGACAATGAACGTTAACTTTTTGGCTTAATTCTTTTAATCCATTTTCTTACCTTGCTCTATAACGGAAGAATCCGGAGCACAACGGCCTAATAGGTCGACGAGAGTGCAATAGAAATTTAATATCGCCGCACCAGTATCGATGTAGTCTTCATCGTCATCTGATTCTGGTAGTGGATGTTCGAATTGCATCACCATAGCCGTACCCTCGGCCTCGTCGTGTACCTGTGCGAGGTACTAAGTTGACACCAAATTAATGGAAGGTCGGATACATGCTTACGGAATATTTATTTTAACACAATCGCATAAGTCATATTTTATGCCTTATATTTAGCGAACTTGATTTGTTTTCGATATAAAGAAGATTGTGTGGATTTTGAGAAATTAAGTTCATATTAATTCCAAGGAAATTTCGGTGGCATATTAAAGTGCAATAAATACAAATAAAATCACACGAATTTTAAGAATTAAAAAGAAAAAAGGGCTAAGTCAAAATTATTGAAATATGAAGAAATCAGGGAAATTATGTATATGTAGAATATATAGATATACTTATTTGCTATGTTTAGGGTCTAATTCACACAGAATTGATAATACACACATAGGTCTTTTTTAAAATAACAATCAAAAGAAAAATAGTTTCTTACTTACAAAATAGTTCGCTTATATTCTTTAGTTTTAACTATAATTGAAATAATGAGATAACTTACTTTTCGTCTATCAGCAATACGTTCGGACATCTTGTTAGCTTCTATAATAGCTCTCAATAAACCTTCACCTTCGCCTCGAAGAGCCGGGCCCAAACATTCTGGTCTTCTGATTAACAAACGGATTACCAAGTTTGCATTTTCCTCTACGCTTTCACCTGTAATTAAGATCGCAGTGTTTAATCACTTTTACAGTAGAAAATTGAATAAATTAAATTTAATATAAAATAAATTAAAAAATTCAGTAAAATTTACCATTAACCCACACGCAAAATCTCAAGAAATCGAGGTAGCGTTCACCCTCGACAGGATCCCAGCCTAAATCAGGGTAGCCCTTCTCCACTAACTCCGAATTAGACTGCAGGCCACATCGTGATAAATAGATAGCGATTTTCTCTAGATAATGTTCTCTTAGGGCCAGAGCCAATTCGGTGTTTTCCATGAGTGACGAATATGCTACGTCTAACGGCGTCGATCCTCGTAATGACGGTCTTGCTAACAGAATATTGCTGTTCTCTAGCAGGAAGTCAAAGTGGTCGAACATGGCTTTCTGATTTTGTCTGGATGTACGACAGAAGTAACACAAGAATCTGCAGCAAGCCACGACCATCTCGTGAGAGGTGTCTTTCTCCTTTGATGCTGGCTCACCTTCCGCCGCTTGAGCTTGAGTTTGAGCGTCAGACTGCGCCTGAGCGCGTCTTCCTAAGGTATTCATCATAATGGCCATCACGTTCTCGTGAATTCTCAGCACTCTAATGAGATCGGGATGTTGAAAAAAAGTGTGATTGTTCACCAGCTTCCACAGTCGCTCTCGCACTAACGCTTCTTCTTCTTGAGACATTTGTACTGGCAGCAAAGCACGGATCTGGCTCAAACCGACCCACATTAATGCGACATCGTCCTTCGTCTTATTGTTAACGATGTAAGTTTTCTCCAAGGCTCTGATCAGCTCGCCGACAGTATCGTATTGCCTGACTAATAAGCTGAACATCTCTCGTACGAGTTTCGATGTTTCAATTTGCGATTCTTCAGCCCAATTTACGATAGTTGATATTAGCACCTTGCGAAATACCTCTATTAAAAAATCAGACAAATATTGTTTATAAATATATTACATAATATATGTTTATTATAGCTATATGCAGAAAAATTATCGAAAAAGTAGAAATTTTGAGGAAAAAACTTAGTAGAAACCAGTTTTACTTCGAAACAAAAATTTTCTGTTTTTTTTTTTAATTTCTAATAATAATAATTATATAAAATAATTATATAAGATAAACAGAAATTTTACCTTCCGGTGTCTTTTTCTCGGGTTCAGCTTCAGGTTTAGATTCTACCTCGAGTTCTTTAACAGCATTGATAAAATTAAAGAGGCGTTTCATAGCTCCAGGTTTCTCAATTTCTTCGGCTGGTTCGTTTGCGGCATTAGCTGCTTCTTGAAGAGCAGTCAGTGATACATAGGACATTAAGTCGCTGTGGAAATCGTTCATTTTGACAATGAGATCCTCGCCGCAGGGACAACTATCTGGATCTTCCTCGAAATCTAAACTCTTAAAGCTTAGAACAGCATTCATTTGTTCACGTGGAGGACACCTGAATTCTCTAGTCTTTTTGGCAGCCACAGCCGATGGCAAATCTGATTGTTTGATTTCAATATAACGTCGCAATTGATCTGCTTGCAATTCTCCGACAAAATCGTAAGCGAAAGCGATAATGGACTCAACGCGATGGCGCAATTGGATGTCATTTAAATGATGAAGTAGATAGCACATTTGTAACTTTGCTCCCTCGGCCATTTTCATGTGCAGCAAGCCTTTTTTGTGCTCATCTTTTCCTTCTACAATATTTTGATGACATTGCATTAAATAATCTCTCTCTGAATTGTTTCCTATATTTATTAATATTTAATACTACTTTTCTTTCAATCAACTTGCCTTTATCGAAAGACGGATCCCAGGTTTCAGGATTTATCATGATGAGCAGCTTAAATATATCTTCGTTTCTTAGCATACCGACTAAGAGCAATCTATCTACCAGCTTCAGAAGAGGTCTGTAATTTTCAAAAATGCGTTAGAACGTATATGACTAGCAGGTGAAACGTTGTAAGCGAGAAGCAAGAAATTAAAAATTTCAATTTAAAGAAGAAATAGAAACAATTTCGCATATTTTGTTTTTTGCTTAAATATTTAAAAATGAATATAACGATTATCGTCGCCCCGGTAGTATTGACGAAGAATTAGTTGCAGCAGCGGCAGCGGCAGCAGCAGCAGCAGCATTTATCTTACATACAGGAAAAGATTCTCGTTGCTGCCTCCGATTGGATCTCGGTTGTGCACCTGATTCACTTCGACGGCTTCGTTGAGCGCCATCATCACGTAATCCCGCACGACGTCAAGTGGAAAGTATGGACTATATAGATTCTTTATGTTCTCAATCGCTTGGTCACTGGAAGGAACATTCCTTGATGGCAACTGATTAGTAAAGGATCTCACATCTACTTGGGAAAAAGTTTCACTTACCTGATCTCTGTCATTTTCATTTGCGGTCGAATAGACTCAGTTTCCAAGTACCTGAGACTATGTTTCATCTCGTAATCCTCGTACAAATCCTTTAATTCTTGACCTACGTAATAGACAAATAATTACTACATAGAAATCCGTATAAAATATCTTAATCTATAGGCAAAATAAGAAGTTTTGTTATTAAATTTTTAATCAACGAAAAATTGAAAAGAATATTTTGATATTTATTATATATTAATTTATATACATATAATTATATATATTTCTATATATTTTTTAAAATAATTTTTTTTAAATATTGAAATTAAATACACAATTAAAGAAAGGTATATTCAAAACTATTAAAAAAATTTTAATTTTTAAACAATATTGTATTAGTTATGTTTTTAATTTTTAATTTTAATATTTATAATATATGCACGTAATTTTTTACTTTTAAATATCTAATTCTTACCAAGCGGTATTATATATTCGTTTTTGCACACTTCCATCGTCGTCGCGTGTGACTCGAGATGTAGGGCGATAAGTAAGTCGTAAAATCCTTGTCGCAGGGGCCCGGACATGTACTCGGCTCGTATCGCGTATAATAATTGTTTCTGGTCAACGTGTTGGCACAGAGCGTGTGCTGCACGATAATTCGATTGATAGCACAGAGCTGCATACAGTGTCAATGTGTGCGCATGGAAACTGTGCAAGAGAAATGCATTGTTTTAATATAAAAGAAAAAAGTTTAAGCAAAGAGAAAAATATTTTTTAAGTTTTTCACTGCAAATTTCTCGTCAATGTCTTACCTGAGCAACTTATCCATCTCGATAAGCTCCAAAATATCGATACATCTGTCTTCTTCAGGTATATGAAGAGCCAGCATTGAGATAGCGTCCTCGCATAGCATCGACCAGCCTCTGATATCAGACAGCTTCAAGGCGTGTACTTGAAGAGACTGATTTGGCACTCTGGCCCATTGGTGCGGCTTGAGGCATTGCACTTTTAATCTTGGCGGAAACTGTGGTATCACGTGTCGTTCAGAATTTTGCAGTACAGCTGCCGATAGTGGAAGTGTCGTCGAGGTCCTACCGAGTTCGATCTGTAGGATTTCTTTGCTAGTGGCTTCAACGAAGATCGCCGGAAACAGCTTCGTGTCTGGTTCCATTTTGAATTTGTGACTTGTTTCTTTCCCTTCACAAGTGTAGGATACCCAGCCTGTGGCAGTATCAACAAAGCATCCAACAAACATTCCCTGAGATGCACCCTTGCCCGATGCATCTTGAGTAACTTCGTTGTACAATTCATCCGCTCGGACCATATAACAACTTTGTCTATCGACTCTGCAACGTTATTACATTGTTTTTTAAACAAGAGTACCTTTATAATTATATTTTTAACAAAAATTCTGTGATAAAAAATATATTAAAACGTACTGTTCTACGAGACGATCGTAATCATCTGTAATCGCAACAGAAGCTTTCCTCACGCGGGATAAATTAAAGTCCTTCGTATGCAGGTGATATTGTGAAGTAACCCAGCCAATATAAACGTGAGTCGGATCTTGACCGGGGAATATCCTAACGCCGTAGAAATACTCGTTCATTAACTTCATGCACTCAGCGTCGAAGATTTCATTACCGATCGCTTCGACGCCACTTCCGGTTAAAACGGACATCGCTTTGGGGACGTTACGTTCTGGGATTTGTGGGGGGACGACTTTCAAGTCCGTCTATAAAGAGAAATTGTATAATACATATTACGAAATTCTTAATATTCTCAAAAGTTGCAAACTGTCTGCGGAATTTCCAAAAGAAATTTCTCTCTTCAGATTTTTTATAATAACTTTCATAAAGCTATTTATAGAAAATATCTTCAAATATTTTTATTCAAATATACTTTTTATTTATATATATAAACTTACAGTTGAGACACGAATTTGCGGAGTTTTGATATTTTTGCTTCCAAGCGTTCTTGTACTTTTATCTGAAATATCTGCGCGTATTTGCGGTTCAGGCGTTTTCGACTTCGTCTCCGGTGATTTCGTTTTACGCGAGAAGAACCTGCGCACACGATAAAAATCAATTAAATAATTTATTAAAATCAAAAATAAAATTTCAATAACAAAATAAAATAACATCAATGTAATTCAATCAATTACTGAGATATATCGAACATTGAATTAAAGATATTAATAATAATTATGTTTCATAATAACATTGAAAAAAAAAATTTAAAAAAACTTACGGTGCATCCTCCATCTCTTTGCTAAGCTTGCTAACAAAGTCAAAGTATCGAAGTCAAATTGTTTTTTACAATATTCACTACAGAGAATAGTTATTAATATATAATTCATGCTTACCGAAAAGGTGAACGACCGCGTTTCTTCTTCTCGTCTTTTATGTCACCATTCATCTCACCATATCCATTCATTTCAGCGTCACTGATCGCGTTATCTAAACGTGATCCATAAAGTGAACCTTTCCTGGGCGGTCTGGCAGGTTTACCTCTTTGCATAGGAAGCGGCGATTCTTTCATCATCTCGTCTGCCTCAACAGCATCTTCCGAATAATTTCTTTGCAATCCTATTCAATATTATTTGTATCAAATTTATTGCATAATATTATATTATAACATTACTATTATATAGATATTGCAATATTATTGATAGATTGAATAGATTTATCTAAACACTTATCAATCTTTTCATCAATTTAACTAAAACTTTTTAAAAATTACAACTGATAAACAAATTTAAAAAAAATTTCTCAAGTAAAAATACAAATATAAATTACTTATATTTGATTTATTCTTGTGTGTGTGTGTGTGTGAAGTCACAAAATTATTTTTATTTTAATTAAACATTTTTTAATGCTTCATATATGTTTTGAATATAGATTTCAAATCATTTTTAAATTAATCTTTTCTACATAATACCTTTGATGTCACTCATACTGAAGCCGGATTTCATGATCTGTTCTAAATGACCCGATGGTGCTGTCTGTTGCCCTTGCTCAATTTGCTCGGCTAAAAGTCTGTTCTGTCGCATTTTAATTTCCTGCCACCTGCGCAACTTCTCACCCTCCGTTATGAAACCAGATTGGCAAATCACAGGCAATGATAATCGTAGAAATTCCCAATTAGCCTTCTCCATGGTTTCGAACGTGTTGTGGGAGATTTTCAGACACGGCGGTGTGTCGGAACCAGCTGGTATCCTAGCCACGTCAATTCGCGTGTCGGCCATGTCGTCAGTATTCTCGAAAATAGGCTGATCTTTTGTGTACCAATACGTAACTAGACGATTCATGTTCCTAAGAAAATTAATAAACAATATTAATTAATTTTCTGTCACTTGTTTTATTTCATTTTAAATGAGAAATCGAAATTATACTTACACACAGAACGGTTCATAACCTTCCTGCAGACCACAAGTAGTAAAAAATTTCAGGGTGTTTACATCTTGGCCGAATGTTAATCTTGCCTTTTGCCCAACACCAAGGGTGAACGCAGGTACAAAAGAGTCGCCTTGCACATCGGCGAAAGAAGTTTCACCGCCGAGTGCATCCATTAGCAGTTCTCCATTCAAGGAGAAACCTATATAATTTGCAGATTTGTATTGCGATACATTTATATTGAGCATTGTAAAAAAAAATCGAAACGAACAATATAATTTAAAAAGTTATATAAAATAAAGTAACAATAATATGAGTATATGATATATGTTTTGCTCAATAATTCGGACTGTTAAACATTCGTTTCGACTTACTAGAAAAAGAAAAAACAGAAATCCAATTAGGCAATAATTAATTATTGCAATTCGTAAATATCGAATGTTATGACACATATAAAATGCAAAAGCTCTTACAATTTATATAAAAATATAATCGTACTAGGAATTTTAATAAGATTCTTTTAACAGCTAGTTGAAACACTTTGTAAATACAAATTACAGCAAAGCAGGACGTGTTAAAGGCTGTATGAACAAAAGCATGTGCTTTCATTTATTGTTTTGGATATTTGGACAAAAATATTAAAATATTTCAAAATTTGAAGATAAAGTACTCGTTTTATCTGTACTCATACGACCCATTAACACAAAATTAGACAAAATACTCATGCAAGCGATGTTATTTGAAAGTGATGTAATAGAAATCAAATATATGTAATATCATCGCAGACGAGAAAGAGAGAGATGCACAATTGTAAGTAATAAATCTTACAATAAAAACAAAATTTAATTATATATAGAGATAAAAAATAAAGAATATAATAGTTCATAAACAGGACAATAAAAGATCTTCGATATTTTTTCTTCGGTTGTTGAACTCATACACGTTCACGTGCAGTATTTGGCAATAGTTCGTAAGTAATAGTTTAGAAAATATCATATTTAGAGAAAGATAAATAGTTAAAAAGATGGAGAGACTGTGACATTTTTGAAGAAGTTTTATCGTGTATTTTTGTGTTCGTAAAACAATCGTATATTTGGGGATTACTGTTTCAGAATGCACGTGATATGATCGATATATATATGATATCTGGGGTCACCTTAGTGTTAATGATTAGTAGATATGAATTAAAGAAGCACTGTTGTCGCTGACAGTATAAACACTGAGTAGAGTACTGGATACCGGAAAAGACATTGGGCAGATAATGATTTTTGTCGTTTGAAAGAATGTGATATTATTAATGATGATAGAAACCAGGACTGCTTCTGGTTTTGTGGTTAACCCCATTAAGAAGTATGTTAAAATAACAAGCTGAAATAATTTTGTGTGGAAAAATGCATGGTTTGCCCGATTGTTTAAGCAACCATCGTTGCAACGGAGTTTTCGTATCGAGAGAGTATTAATGGAATGACTCTTCCTTAAAGTGCATGACGCAAAAATTTTACTTAACAAATGTCTATTTCAATATTAAATAAAGATTATTATATATGTATATCGTGTTCTGAAAATTAAATATTATTTTAATTGTGTGTGATTATTTATTCAATTTTTTGCATTATTTATTTTTGTTTTCTATATAATTTGTATAATGTCTACTCTGTTAATAATATATTAAAGAGCTAATATCGTATATGGAGATCTAATATTATGTTAAAAAAATTATCTAACGAATGTGAATAACTACGCAGAGCAACACGGTTCGTGTTAAAAATCGCAATGTCTGTATCCAGTAATCTATCACCAGAGATCAAATCGTATATGTATAGCTTGAAATATGGCAGCTAAAGCGTTCGCTTAAAAATTCCGTCTTACTAATCGTTCGGTCAATTAGATCCAGGAAAACACCGACAACGTCTCCGACCTGCCATTGTTTGCCGAACGTTTCGGCCGTGCCCGAGTATACTTTTTCCTCCTTTAAAACAGAATGGTTCACCAGTTCAAGGTTATTTTCGCTCGTACAGATCGGGACAGACCAGTAATCTAGACGTCCTATTTTTGCCCGCGGTCTTAAATACCTTGTACACATTTATCTTCTATCGCTATTAATATCGCTCTCTCGATGTCGTTTATATTCATGCGATATTAAAGTTTTGGCATAGTATATAATTAAGTAAGATACCTCGAGGATATTACGCGATTTTTCCTTCCTCGATATTGATAAAGATCAAACCACACATCGCCAAATGAAATTTCACCAGCGATTTTATTTGTCTTGGGACAAGGATGTAAGATATAAAACCAAAGTCAACATGAAAAGAAACATAGAGCGAGACAAAGACAACAGTAGTGACGAGAAAACTCAGGAAAAGAAATGATGTGTATAGTGGGGCCTCTAAGATCGGCTAATTTTGAAAATGGGACTCTTACTGATCGTTCGGTCTGCCACGTCAATGAAACATCCAACTATGTCGCCAACTTGATATCTGTGACCAAATGACTCGTGGGTGCCAGCGTGCACTTTAGTCACCTGACATTCATGTTCTTATGGATTATTCATGTTTCATAGATCGCAAATAAAAGCCATATAGCGCTTACATTAATTATTAATATTAGCATTTGTCTTGCAACACAATAATTTCCATGATTATACGCAACTTTCTTAATTAAAATATTTTTGTAAAAATAAATTAAATACTTTAAAGTCCGAAGTTCTCACCTTTTGTGGCTATAATATATTTTAAAATTACAGAAAATATTAGATAGCTTTTTTTTAATAAAAGATTTGAATTCAATTTGTACAAAAATATTTTTATTTGTTTCATTTATTTTATTTATTTATTACTTAACTTGAAATAAAAATCTAGTACGTTTTAGAAAAATTCCGAATTATTATTTTAACAATTAAAAAAATTGTTTCATCAAATTTCATTGAATATTGTTGTTCTAATTTTGAATGTTTTAAATTTTTTATGGAAGGAGAAATTATAACGACACACTTACGTTGTAACCATCAAATGCCCAAGTACTTTCGTCACTGCCTAGCATACTTCCTGGCATACAATCAGCTTTCGCCCAACCGACTCGCATAGGCCCAGCTGTCAGAACTTCGAATTCGAAATACCATTTTCCGCTGCTAACTGCATAATGCTTCTCAACCCTATAAGTCCTGAAGGATAATTGTCGTAATCTGCTAGCCTCCAAAAGTAATGCTATAAATATCAGAAAGTAAATATATTAATATAACAATAAAAGTAATTATACGTATTAATATGTATAATCCATCGAAATCTTAAAAAGCATGCACCCTGAAAACTCTAAAAAGTAATCGTTATATCAAATTAATGCACACAATAAAACTTTACAAATAATCAAATCCCTGGCGAAAATAATATGTCTATTAAAAGTTCATAAAAAGCTTGTTTAAATGTTGAGTAGATGATTCCTTTGAGTTTTAAAGTATTTATGAGTTGTTAATGAAATGGGAACATTGAATTGTTTAAGAGATGTTCACGATTATATTTTGAAGAATAACGCTTTGAAAACAGTTGCTTCAAAATATCAATAAAATTCTTCATAAACAATATAACTATTGTTAAACGCTACCTAAACAGGTATAAACACAATCTCTCACTAAAAATTTTTGCTAAGGACATTGTACAAATTAAAATTTAGGAGAATGAAATAGTACATTGTGTAACGCGTGGGGACTAGTGTTATGGCGCGAAAGTACGAGCGAAGCGAGTGCGTATTCGCGCCCGTCCCGCGCTATAAACAATATACGCGTTCGCGTGACAAAAATAATTTTTACTTTCATGGTAATTAATTATCACAAATCGTAATTAATATTAGATTAATGGTGTAGTAATGTTATATGTATATACGTATATATTTCGTAAATATTTGAAAAAAAAATACAGTGTTATCTTCAATGAAATAAAATTAATTTGTTTTTTAAATAAACGAGTACATTGAGCCAGGATTAAAATTCTCACCCTCGTGCTGTTCTCCAGTGGGTGGGTCAAGCATGTATCCATAAACCAGCAGAGTCCTAACGGTTTCGCTGGCTGTATCTCGATTAGCTTTTTTGATGGCTTCATCGACTTTTGGATATGGTACTAAATGGGGACTTCTCCTCATTTCCGAATCCTCGTTCAATCCGTACGTCCATCCTTGGCTGATTCTTTCTTTTGCCCAAAGATTGTGCGTATTCTCTGCTAGCTGATCTACGAGTTCTTCCATTTTCGGGGTCAACGTGATCGCAGACAGATCAAGGGGCGCTGGTTTATATCCACTACTTTGCAAAAACGGTTCATTTGGCAACCTCAAAGTTTTTATTCTAGATGGGGGCTTATCCATGGTAATGTAATATCCCAGTGCCAAAATGGTTTTCAAGGTCTGCACAGCCAGCTGAGTATCGTAGCGCTTTTCCGCGGCTGGCAGTCGCTCGAATTGTACTATACAGGGATGTATCTTCCTAAGATCATCCCTAACCTCGCCATAGATCCAACCGGCTTCAATTTTATTCATTGCCCACATTTCATGTATATTCTCCGCTAGTTTATCTCTAATCTGCTCTACATAGGCAGGCAGGTTGACCATGGAAGTGTCAACCGGACCTGGAACGAAGGCGGTATCGTCCTCAACTAGCCACGGACCTGCCAGAACCACCTTGTTCATATTACCAAAATAGAAACAAGGATCCAGTGACAGAATTTGTTGCGGCAGCAGGCTCTCCACTAGTGGCGAAAATTCTTCTGGCGGTTGAAACTTTAGTCGACCGTGATCACCGCCCAGCAAAAATCTGCAGGAAAGTTTAGACGAGCAACTGATAGCAGGGAAGAACATACCATCTAAATTGAAGTTCCGAAAAGAACCCGTGATGTGAGTGCCATTTAAAGTAAACATTATCACCGGCACCGTCAGGTCTAACGAGCAACCGATCACATCGCTTTTTCGTATGTAAGGCTCAGTGGCATTTTGAACTACTTGCGTCTTCCTACCGCCGGTCCACAAATAAGCGCCATCGAATCCAAATGAATACAAATCATCACCTACGCCGTTTCCACCCCACTTTTCACCACCGCCAGGATACGGCATATATCTAGGAGGAAAAAATTTTGCATTATTAAACTTCTTAATAATGCAAAACTTAAATTTTAATTGAATATCGAAGATATGCAACTTTAAGAAATTATAGTCAAAATACGCAGAAAGAACAATTTTGTTAAAGTAGCTAAAAATTTAGGTAGATACAGATCTGAAAATACTTTTGTTAAAATAATTACATAGGAAACTTAAGCATAATAAGTAAGACTGTAAAAAATTTTGACATTTTTGTAACCAGCTTGAACATATCTTTATTATATAATTATTTTGATGATTTTAATAAAATTATTTTCAAATTTATATTTAGTTACATTTTTAGGTACTCTAGCAAAATTGTTCTTTCCATACACTTTACATTTTTACATTCTAAATGTAAATGAAGATTTAGAAAACATAATCTAACTTAATTTACCCAGCGGTGTTTGCCCATCCGATTCTCAAGTGCGGCATCATGTGAGTTGTCTGTTCAATGTGATCCACTGTCACTTCGAAATACCATTTCTGATAAAGTGCCGAGCCCTCAACTCTACCGACAAATATATTCGGTCTGACGCTCGCCACATGATCTACCAGCTGCGTTTGGAGGAGCAAATTTTTTCCAGGCAGCAGAAAATCGCAAATATTATTTTGCGAAGAACGTACCGCGACGCCATTACCAACGCATAGCGAACATAAGACGTCCAGAACTTTTGGATCTCTACCGTGTTTTTCCAACAGAGAAATAATTACTTTTATGTGCTCATCCTGAAAAAATTAAATTTATTTTATATAATTTTTTATTAGATTTAACTCATTCTATAAAAGCTTTATTCGTAAGAATGTTATTGTTTATCAAATAGCTATAATCTATATTGCAAAAGCAATATAGATTTACGACACAATTTACGGTACAATACCCTCATCATATTTAAAGCCTCTGGCGAATCAATCAAGACACAATGAAGTACATCCAACATTCCAGTTCCCTCACTGGAAGCCTGCGAACCCAATCGGCTAAAAAGCCAATTCAGACGATTACTATTGGCGAACTGAGCACAGTTGGTGTGATTTCCTTTGATGATGGCTGCCAGTAGTTGATAGAGATATCCGGATATTTGATCCCAAGCCTGGCCGCTCTCGTCGCCGGAAAGAGCAACGAGAAATCCTTGCGAAGTAATTACGTTAATCTTGTCAATAGCTTCGAGGATCAGATTCAATATACCCTCTTCTTGAAACAGATCCTGACGATTCCTGAGAGCTCGAAACTTATTTTGTTTTTCTTCGTGTTCTGAAAGAATCTATTGTTAGCAAAGTAATCTGAAGAGATTACTAATGAAGAAAGAAAGATCTAAAAATATCATGTCAGAGTATTTTTTTTACCCATGTCATCTTCGGGTTGAGCAAAGTAATTGATCAAGTCTTCAAGACACATTACCATTTCATTAAGGTTTACGTTTTGAAAAAACATGGACGCTCTTCTATTCACCTGCAGCGTTTCTAGGCCTCTAAAACGTATTCGATATTTTTAGTAAACTTCTATTCCGTTTACTCTCTACTTAATATCCAATACTTTTTTATCTGTCTTTCATACTTCTATATATAGTACATAATTTTCTTTTATCTCTTTTTACATTTTAAAAATATTTTAATTGCAAAAACTTACGTGATGAATTGAGTAAACAAGCTACTGCACTTTCTGATGACGCGGGCGGTGCGAGATTCTTCTTCCTGTGATCTGGAAAAATCTAGACCATCGTCCATCTTACCTTCTTCATGGAGTACCGCTTGTTTCTCTTCGACTTTTCCGACGCCCTTCTTTTTTGTTTCGTATGACTAAAACAATATCATGAATCTCATAAGATTTACTATCGTAACTTTGATTACAAGTAATTATTTAATTACATATTTTTGATATTTAGTTTTAGAAAAAAAATTTTGGAAAAATTAATTTTTTTATTTACTTTATAAGACACCCAGAGGCACGTGGTGGCATGTTGCATAATTACGGTAGAGTCACCATACTTTATAATCGGCATACCGATAACTTCCAGATCCTTATCTTCAAGAACAATCTTCTGATCATCTTTTTCTTGTCGCAGCCAGAACGTCGAGGTTTCAATTGTCGCCTCGTTCCTTCGTAAAAAAAATATCCGGAATTTAGGAAACAATCACGATCCTCTAAGAATCGCCGTGACCCTTGAACTTTTCTAAAAATAAATATTAACCTATCGACTAGATAGAGCTCGTTATTCTCCTTCACACCAAGATAACGTCCAGTTGTCAAGTGCCTGATCCGCATGGGATGTAGCCAGTTGATGAAGCCGCCCGCCCATTTTGTCCTGGCGAGCTCCAGTCTCCATAACGACCTCGCTTGGCTCATCACGCTACCGCCCTCGTAGATTACGAGGCTGTAAAACCACGAAGAAAATATCTGTAAAACGATTATTTCTATCCTCTATCCTATTTTCAAAATAACGATAATTTTTTATGATTTTACGCTACTCTTGTAATTATAAAAGAGATATTATTTTATCTCTCTAAAAGAACTTACTTTTGACTGGGTGCTGGACTCCATGTCGACGGAATCGTCAAGCACTCGTCGCCTCCGTGGAAAAATCTCAACACATCACCACCAAAGACATAACCGACATACTTCATCCTACTGATACCTGTTCCATATGGCTGTACCGACCAATGCGTTACGTGAAAAGATGCGTTTACCACTGACAGGTCATTTTCTTTTGTCGTGTGCTGAAACGAGAAAGATACGAATTTTTTTCTATCCCACAGGAAATATCCTTTTAAATATTGTAATCTTTTATTAAACTTACCAAATATCGTTCGGTCGCGACAGACACCAAGATAAGATCGTCGCCCACACGCACCTTCTCACCTTCAGATCTCTGCTTGGAGGCAGGGTGCACAGTCCACCAACATGCCTCACCTTCGAGAACAAAACTTTAAGAAATTTCAAACGATCACGAGATTCCATTCATACTTCTCGACCCGTAAAAGATTCACCAGCTTTAAATACAATTTTAAACTTCAATTTAGTTTCAATTCTGTTAAAAGTTATAATTGCATTTAAGAAGTAATTATTCATGAATGTTTAACAAAGCAATATATTATGTCGGAGTAGAGAGGAATAACGTTAACTTCGATAAAAGAATTTATTGAGAGTTGAAGCGTAATTGCGTTGCACCGACCATGAGAATGTTCCTGTAGACCGACGTCGAAGGCTAGCTTATCGTTCGACGAACTCGTGGATAGACACGCCAGATACTGCAGTATACGATCATAGATTTACGTAACCATGAAAAATTAATGTGGCATAACAGCGTTATTATAAAGAAGATCAATTTACCATGTCGCTGTTTAGATGGCGCAATAATATGGCGTTACCGTATAACAAGGTCCTGTGCCCTGACCCGGTGCCCTTTCCCTGGAAGCATCAAAGGATTGGTCAAAGCCCTTGCAACCCCTCATGTTAGTATTCCTCTCCATATACCCCGTACGAGATTTTAATAGTTCGCAAAATAACAGTTTCTTAGACAACTTCTACAAGCGTACTGATAAGAGAAGGCCATAAGTGCTGGTCAAGCTACGATACGAAGCTTACGAGGAGTAAATCGAAGACACATCACTAAACGCGTTTTTTAATGTAGATGTTAATACATTATGCAGTCAAACGAAAAAAAAGCGGTTGCTGTTATTACTATGTTCGTTATATCAACGTTAACTTAATATAGTTCTCAGACATGATAGCTTATAATTGATCGATGGGTGAAATAACGCTTCGATATTTGAAGAAAAAAGTTTAGAAATTAATTTATTATTGTCAGATAATTCTGTAAAAAGGAAATTATTATTAAAATTCAATTAAATTTTTCTATTGAATATTCTATATTAAATAATTCTATAAAATTCTATTATTTGAATATCAATAATCAAAACAATATACTGCTATTTATCTTAAAAACGATGCAAATCATATTTAAAAATTTATTACTTAATTTATAAGTCTATATCTCTTTACGTTGTATAAATGCAACTTAATGCAATGTAGAATCACGTTTAAATAGCGCTAAATAGAGACGTGAATATAGACTATCGTGTTTCGAAATTTGGCTGAAGTCTTTGCCATCAAATGAATGTATCTACACTTGTGTTTTCACCCAAACTCGATCGGACATTACGATGTTTCAACACACAAACAAATGATCGTTTTACCCAAGAGCACGTTACGGCGCCCCGCAGACGGTATGAAAATTATACTTACTAAACTGTCTTGTTGCTGCAAAGAGAAACATAAGAAGTAATGAATCTCGTTCGTCAAGTGTCGAATTTAGATTTGTTGTAAATGTAAAGAATAAAGAAAAAGGCACAAAAAGAGAAAAAGGGAAATAAAATAATGCATTTCACGATTATTTATGATAATGGATCTCGATTAAATTTTTAGATGATGCTCTATTCTTTTTACAATGCTAACATGTTTCGGGTGACAAAATTACACATGGAAATATTATAGGAACTATCAGCAGAGAGTGATAAAACATGAAATTGATGAAATCTTTTTATACGACTATGGACACATGCCACAATCATTCGGATAAGGGGTGCGGCTTGCAAATAAGGGGGGTTGCTTGCAAATGCATCGAAGAGAAGCTATTCCGTATCAGGAATCTTTCGGAAATTATTCGGTGGAGAAATTGAGCAAACCTATAAAGATCTAACAGACGTTGTAAAGATGTTACACTAGAAGACATCCCAAACTTTTCGGATACCATTCAGCGTTTCTTCTTTTTTAAACATCTCTTAGACCTGTGTGTTGTTCCGGGATTTTTTACACAGAGATTGGTAAAAGGGGGCGGGTTTTATGGCCCACTCCTATGCAGGTCGAGCGCGTGTAGTAACCTAATATTTGACGATTAATTTGGAATGTAAAGAGCTTCTAATCGCGAGACGCAAGTGATCGTACTGTTCGGGTAGACTACAATTAGCGGATCGTATGAGTCAAGCTCGGCTGTATAAGCTTCGTCATTCGTAGTCACATGTTCGAATTGTTCACCTTCCTTAAAATGAAGGAGTCGTTGTTTCATTGGTGGCACAAATGTCGAATAGCAAAGCTAAAGTCATACGAGTGTATGATATTAAGCAGATAATTCATACGTTACCGTCTCGGAGCCGGCAGCGGTAACCAATTCCTGTAGAGCCCTCACCGAGAGGGCCTGCTCTATCACGAACACGCATTGCGACAAGTCCGGCGGTATGTTCTGGAAGAAAAGAGTAATTAAGTATGCACCAAGACGAAACGAGAGACTCTGCTTGCGAAATTCGCTCTCGTCTTTACCTTATCCGCGATATTTTCGAGAAAACAATGTCGATTGCCGAAACCCTCAGCTGCCAAACAGACCCTCTCTCCTGTTGCGGTACAAGACAGGCATACCATATCCTCCTGTGAATTTTAGATGATATCTTTAAGTGTGTTCTGCATAACAATGATCTACTTTATTTTTTATAGAAAGCGAACTTCATTTCTCCACGCTACGACACACTTTGAATATAATTCATACAATTCATTGTAATTTTCGTAAAAATGGATATTCCAAAATGTGTTTCCATTGAAACGTCAGACGGCATTAAGAAATGTAACGATATCTAGCAAATATATATATATATATATATATGTGTAAGTATTTATATTAATAACAATTTTATAACAATGGAAAAAACACTGGAAAGAAAATTGCCATATATAGAATGGCATTGATGGGCATTAAAACTGACAATGAGAACATCAATTTTAGAATAATTTTTTAAAATTTCTGAAAAAGTAATTCATTGTTTTTGAGTAAATCTTTAATAATTATTTTAACTATTGTATATATGTATTTATAACGCTTTAAATTTGAAATTTATATTAATCGCAATTAAAAAAAGATCTCAACTGTTTGCTGTGCTGCAATAATGCGCAATACCGCCTAAGGATTTTGCAATCCTTACAACAGAAGATAGTTTCACGGAGTGACAAACTGTAAAGTTGCGGATACAGAATCGAGACTTGATGAGGATGTCGTTAGATGACGAACTGATACCATTGAATGATGTCATTTTAAAAAGCATTTTCACTACGATAGTAATAATTAGCTTTTGCGAAATCACGTGAATTATGATGCCGGCTGAACGACAGAACGCGGCCGTCGTGCCAAAACTAATTTGGACGACCTCAGGAATGCACGAGGACCGGACATACACAAGTATACCGGCTTCGAGAGCACCTCGTAATTTTTGGACGCGTCACCGCGAGAAAACGGCGTTATTTAATGCAAGTTTGCAATAATATCGCGCCTTGAAAAGCTCGTCGAGTGAGTCATTCAATTTGCGTCGTTTGATTTAACTTGAATGCGTAGACTTTATCCATCTTTGTATTGGATTTTACTCTGTACTCTGAAGTTTCTAAGCTTCATCCTCTTTGCCCTTTTCTGTAGTTGTGTAATCTCAAAATATTAATTTCTTACATCGATGGCTTTATTTTTCTTTACACTTGGTTAGCTATTGTAAACAAAGAATTATGTATTCATATATACCCTTTAACTTTAACCTAAGACACGATAAAGGAAAAGGAAAAGAAGAAAAAGAGACTAAGTCAATTGAACGACTAAATGAATGAATAAAATATATGAGAGCGAGTAGAAGCTGGCAAAGCTCGAAAGTTTCAGAGAGTTGTCTGTTATCTCGTAAATAATTCTGTAATATGGTTATATGAGATGACTCCATTACTCAATCGGTACACACCTATATGTAAATTATGTATGATGAGTTGCTATAAGATAAGATCGTCTCGTGTTCAACAATTTCCAAGCCCAGTTTTAATGATACGCGGAGAAAATTAATACAACAACCTAGCAATCATCTAAGTGCTTTCTTTTTTACCTCCGTTCTAAATAAAGCAATGTGTAATCCAATTAAAAATCTCATATTAAATTATATAACTGTTATCGCAAATATACATACATAAAACATTTTTAGAAAACGTTATCTTTATTTTATTATTAGAGAAATCTTTATTATATTATTAGAAATAGCAGTACATTATATAAAATTAAAGTAAATTAAACATGCAACGCACGTTTATCAGTTTTTTTTTATTAAAAAATAATGGTATTTATGTTATACTTGCAAGTAATTCGTACTTGAATTATTCTCCAATTTGTGTCGCTAATCAGTACGATTTATTGACAATCAAGAATGTGATAACAACGTTAATAAGGCAATCAACCGATTATAGAGTTAAATTGAAATCGATTGCAGAACCTGGCTCGCAGGACCATTCGTACAAATGAAATTGCTTTGCACAACTATATTAATCGTATATCACTTGTATCATCGCAATCATATTTACTCTTTTTTCTCTTCATATTTTATTAAAAATATAATCCGAATATTCTCAGTTATCGGATGCAGTGCGACGGTGTGTGTAACTATGAAACGTGCACGCATATCCCTGACTTGTATAAGTTTAAAAAAAATTAAAATGCAACGGAGAGAAATGCATAAATAATGTTAAAGGACACATTAACATAACTTCCTGTTGGGTTAAATGAAATAGCACGCGATTCGCCATACGTGAAATCGTATATTTACTCTTGAGACACGCGAAATACCAAAAGTTTCCGCTGGAAATTTGGCAAGGAATCCTAATCTTGTTTATCGAGATATTAATAAAATGTAATCGGTCAATTCGCTGACGCGAACTGCGGTTTTATAAATTGCTACGTTAATTAAGTATTATATGAAGAAATATTTATATCCAAAATATTTTCTAATTCGTGATTACGTTTTCATATAATGAACGCGATAAACTAAAAAGATAGAAATAAAAATTGAAAACTCTATTATTTTAATTTTTTTATAATAATTACATTAAACGTGTAATCCAATTTATTCCATACAGTGTTTAAAATATTGATTTTACTATTAATGAGTGTAACATCAGAGATTATGGAAATATAAGTGCATAAGATTTCATATTTAATTTTTGCTCTTAATATTAAAATATAATTGTTTGTAATTTAGTGGATGAACGAGCGACATATATATTGATAATGAACCAAATATATCGTTTACTTCCGGCGTTGGGTGACGATCGAAACACATATTGCGGTATAGGTCAAGGATAAACCTTCATTTTACAAGCAGATAACTTCTATAATTCTATGAAACTGACGAATGATCATAAATCATATTTAATCTTTTCACATTTATATTGGACATTTCAAGATTTCTTTTTCAGATGTACAGAAAAAGATTTGTACGCGTGATATGAGCGAAAGTAATTATCACATACATGATTGAAGATATTTAGAGAAATTTTAAAATTGTATATACTTAAAATCTTGAAAGTACAAATTTATTTGAAATAATTCTTTCTAAAATTTGAAGCTTGATTTAATCCTTTCCAACTAAAATTTATTCGAGTCAACTTAACAATTCGTTGCTTCTTTTATTTATTAGAAATATCAGCATATAAAGTGATCGTTTGATAAACATATCGGTAAAAAAGTGAGCTTCGTGACGGCATCATTGAGCTGGAAGAGGCTTTAGAAAGGTGTTCCCATCGTGCGTGTGCTATATCGTTTGTTGTTCGATACTCGGTGCATCCGACGCATGCTGCATCGTGGTATATTAATTATAAATTCATCACTTTTCGATGCGACATCACTAATGAAAGCTACGCGAGCTGATAGCTATCGATCAGACAGAAGAGCGTCACATTAAATTCTAAAATTAACTAAAAGCTACTAGCTTTGAAGAAACGACTTTAAAGAAGAACCACGATAAAACATATGCGATGTGCCGGAAACTGCTACATTTTTGTGCATGCAACGTGCATAGTACGTGTTGCAAAGTACTGTCAGCAAACTGCACAATGAATCATCCGACTATGAGTGTCTCCTTGAAGACGACATTAAGGTAAGATGTGATTAACTAAGAACGACATCTACCTTAATGAAAGAATTTCAAGATACTATTACATTGTTACATGTACTTTTTTATTTTATCTGCAAAAATTTGAATAATTTACTTTTCCTGATCTTGAAATTGCATTATAAATTTTTTATTTAAACTTCTCTACATGAACACGAACAAATCATAGTGAATTAAAATTTAAAATAATTCTTCTTAAATTCTTGTTTTTATAAGAACCAACTTTTACGACAAAATTTAAATGATCGCAATTACGAAGTTACATACACATTTAATTTTGTACGCGGAACTAACTGTATCTCAATTCTGTATCGACCTTTGAGATGTGCGCGCATTTTTAATATACGATCCTATTAAAAAATTCTTGTTATCGAAACATTGATAAATAATCGATAGGACCTACCCGATCGACTATTCTCGAGCGTGCGAAGCGAGAAAATTAAATTCGTAAAGCTTCAGATGTTTTCATGCGGATGACATTTCGCTCTTTTTTTCAATACCGAGTCAAATTATCAAGTGAAAATTGTAACGGTTAGATGATGGATCCTAATAATTACGAAAGAAAATCCGATGACAGGTAAGCAATATTCCGTGCTTCGATGTTGTATTCGGATACATAATCCGTTTGCAAGAAAGGTAGTCTGTCAAAAGATGCGGATGTGACGTTTCATGTAAGAACGCGAATGATCTGTTTCCTGATCTATTTCAATTTTGCACGGCATGTTTTCACGGGGCAAATCTAACAGAAATGTATCTTTGCACGAGATTTCATCACATCGATTTTTTAAGAACGTGAAAGGCTGTTTTAACCCCGAAGATAATCGCACCCGTGTTGATGATTAAAGTCATCCTCCTGGGTTGCTTTCCAAAATTTGACTGTCAACTGGAGAATCATTGTATGTATATTCTTGTTATTTATCGAATATTGAATAAAGATATAAGATACTTAGAGTTGACAGAGTCAAGTTTTTAAACGCACCCCTGGAGAAAAATCGATTTTATTGCTCAGTGTTCTATATGCTTTAGATTGTTATTGTATATACAAGATGTTCCAGAAATTATCATATAACCGGGAAAGAAATAATTCTTTACGTAAGTAAAAAATATAGACAAAATTTTGTCATATAGAATTCTCTTTTCAAAAAAATTAAATTTGAATATTCGTCGTTAAGTACACAAGTACTTAACTACACTTATATACAATCTGCTTAGTTCATTCAATCACTATTCACTGTTATTTCTGGAGGAGCCAGTTTGGTAGCTGGTTTGGTGTAATTTAAAATAATGCAATAAATTTCAATAATGTATTTATTTTATTATATTTGATTATTATGTATAATTATATTTGATTAATTTTATTAATTAAAAAATTGTTAAAAATATACAAAAAATTTTACGTTTTATTTTCAATTCATTTTTTACTTGAAGAATTACTCTCTTTTTGGTTGTATTACGATTTCTAGAACATTCTATGTATACTTCGTGATCATAAAATTTTCGTTGCTGGTCGTAAAGTGAGTCAAACAGCAATCGATGAATAACTTCAAAGAAAAACAGGAAATTTCGTAAAAATCAATCATCAATTATCGGTAATATGTATTGCGCTAAATCCATAATAAAAATACACGCATTAATAATTAATTTGGAAGGGATATCAACAATTCGTTTGAAATGAATATTATAGATGTTAATTAATTTATAAGCATTATAATTTACAATGAATTATAATGGAATACAATAATGCGATAAAACTGGGTAAAACCCTTTGCAGAGGTGTTTTTGAAGAAACGGATAAAACGATGAGTGAGCAGAAGAAGGAGACAGATACTGAGAAACGTTTGGCTCGCTGCGCACGAAGAGCCGAAAGAAAAGCTATATGTCGTTGTGGCCAGAGATCCAGAACTAGAACTAGATCTAGATCTAGAAGGAGGAAACGAAGAATTGTCTCACAGAATCCCTTTATCATCTTTTATCTTGAGATGTATTATAAAATGCCTGACAAACATGTGACAGAAGTCGCCCGACAGGCCGGCAAGGAATGGTGCGCTTTGCCTCAGGAAGAGAGGATGAAGTACATACGTCTGGCAGAAAGAGAACAGAAAAGACGGAAGTCTGGAAGGGGACGGAGGAGGATAAGAAGAAGGAGACGCAGACGTGGTCGAGACAGCGATTAAACGTCCTAGAAAAAAAATCCGTCAGTAACACAAAAGATGCAAAACAAATATATATATATAATATGAAAAATATGAGAAAATATGTTATGTCCGATAAAACAATATATTGAACATTTCCGCTCTTGTTGAAACACGTTTATATAACCTTTTTAAATTTTTATTTTATTTCAAAGTTGCAGCACAAAATATTATCGGTATTACATTACTATGTATTTTTGGTATACATATATTTTATGATTTTAAAACATCGAGTTTCAGATAAAAATGATAGAGAATAGTAAAATGGTTGTGTAATGAACAACGAAGGAAATACGCAATTTCGTACAATTTGTGAGTAATTTTGTGTGATGAGTTGAATATTTTTGAAACTGTACAATTTGTAATTAATTTTAAAACTTTGTTTTTATTAAATATATTTTATTTTTATAAAATATATGTTTATTTAAAAAATTGAAATTAAAAATAAAGCGTAATTAGTTGTTTTAATTATGGAAGAATATTTGCATTTGTGAAGTATTTAAAATATCTGCATATATAAATTTTTTATGTCGTATGATAATTAATTATAGGTATCAAATAAATAAATATAATACAAACATCAATTAAATATTATGACGCAATGACACAAGTATGTACAAGACTATATTCACGCGCTTGATCTTTATAGGTCGAATGAGGTCAAGGTTGTGCTGGTGTACTTTAAGTGCTTCCACGTTTCGCTAAAATCACATACAGTTTTTCTTGATTTTCCACGTAAGAAATTGCATGCGAACATTTGTAAATTGAAAATACTCAGGCAAACTGTATTCTGAAATTTACTTAAACTGAACCCGCTATCAATACAAATTACCAAATTATTTCTATAAATATCAACAGTGACATAATTATTCGTTATAATTTCCAATATATTGTAACTGTTATATATAACATATACTATAATACGATTATATTGTTGAGTGGGAAATTGTAAGTAACAATTATGTTATTGTTAGTTCGAGTTTACTGGGTATTAAATAAATACACTTCGTAATTTTAATTTATTAAAAAAAATACATTATAATTCAACTTAATTGAAAACATAACGTGTTATTTAACTTCAACTATTAAATTTTTAGAATTAAACTTTTTTCAGATTATTCTACCTAGTCGACATTTTCGTTGAGGTGCATTTATACAGAAATCATAAGTACGAAGCTATATATGGTAATACTATCATTGTACTGCATCAGTGCAGTACACCGGCTCGCGCAATACGTAGTCTGCCCACCTCTTGTAGTGCAAACAAACTTCCACCAACTGCATTGGCATTCATTCATTTTCACACATACACATCAGCGCATCATTGAACGCGAATCACCTTCGCGTTCTCACGCGCTTTTAACGGACACACGGGTTGTCATATTAACACTCGGCTCGTTTCAAACCTATCGATAACAATCACCTTTACATCTTTCATATCACATTTACCTTTTATGTGAACTTTGCAGAGTTATTAGTGAAGCTACTTAATCTTTGTCCAGTTTATTACGAATAGATTCGTTGAAGCGAGAAACCATCAATATTCATTAGGTATTTAAATAACGTTATTTTACTGAATAATTAAGGATCCAGAAAAGAAAATTAATTATAAGTAAGTTGTTAATAAAAAAATTTAAGTTAATAAAAAATACGCTTCTGATTTGTAATTTTCAAAATTCATCTTTCCATTCTTGATAACAATTTCTTCAGTATTCCTATAGAATATAGATCATCAAATATGACAGTCTTGTCAGTAGCCTTTGATAACAGCCTTCCTAATTTATCTCCTTCGTGTATTCCAGAAGATAGCAACTTTACATTTCATCACTAATACTATAGGTTTCTAATTACAATTTCTCCAGCATCCTTCTTAAACTTTGAAACCAATTATAGCCCCGTTCTATCGCGCCATCCCAAATCTTATACAGCGATAAGTAAGACTTACCGTGCGGAGGAATGATACGTCGTCCTGCTCGGAGCCACCCTCGCTGTCGGCCATCCCTTCAATACGCTTTCACGCGACGACCCTTCTCTGTCTGCGTCACCCTTGCGCGCCGTACGTGCGTATGTGGGTGTGCGTGAGTGTCACTTCGTGTCCGAGGCACCCTTATCGATGCTCGAAGTGTACGCGGTGGTCATTCACAGTTCCGCGTGGACGGCATGCTCCCGTCCACTACACACGGTTCCCCAGCCTCTTTGTCTTATCAAGGACGTCGACGTCGTCGGCGCGCTGAACCGTCGTAGGGCACCGACGATCACCCACTGCTGATCGGATGGCACCCAGACCGCTCGCCGACGTTTCTCGCGCAAGCGCCCGACACCTTCAATCAAATTCCGCATGCTCAAGATTCCGTTAACGCGAAAAATCCCACGTTATGTGACTGTGTTACACGGCTTTCGCGTTACGCAGCCGTCCGTCTCACCGTGAAATATTATATTTGTTGTTTTTTACCTTCTGAATAAATCTCTAAATAACGCGATAAGGGTGAAGGGTGCTTTTCAAAGATGAAAATGTACGTCGTAAACGTGTTATGTCACTTATATTGCGATAACTTGAAATAGAGTGGAATGAATCTTTTAGATGAATGGCTTTTTATTTTAATAATTTAAATTTTAGTGTTTTGTATATTTTTTATTTTTAATTAAAAAGAAAAAACTTGGCTTTTTATATTAATTGAATTCATTAAATTAGTTTTTGAGAATAGAGTAGCGTTATATGTATTTGCAAACAGTCTCGATTATTGATGTTCATACATGTTACTAAAAATTCTAAAAACACTGAACACAAAACACGTGTATTCCGGTAATTTTGTAGTTACGTAAAAATATTTTCGAGCAAACATATCTCTTATTTCACTGATGAACGGAAAGGCGAGTGTTCATGAGTCAGTTATGTTATGAGTGCTCCGACGGATTATGTTACAGAATTAGAAAGTATCTTAAATTACAAGAGCAATTGGAATGTTACAAATAAAGCGTCCAATTTAAGATTAATTTGATCCAATTCACGTAGATATATATACTGCGAGCGTGAAAAGCACAAATTTTTTATTTATATTATAATTTGCTATTAACATTATAGTTTAGTTTTGATTTGAATATAAATATACCAATTACATTGATATTTCCAAGTTATATTAAATTTGATTATATTAAATGTGAACGATAAATAGAATACATGCTGTTAACATTAATTTAAACACATAATAGCTTTTAATTTTCATACATGTAGTATACATATAATAGTTATTTAATTATGGCTTTGCAGTAAGATTATAGTAGTAGTGAGCTCTGTAATTTGAGAATATGCGTTATAAATCGAATATTATTAAACGATAATTAATGCGACAGTTTCTGCGTTGAATTAAATTCTGTCGGTTTAATTTAATACAATTTATTTACTGATGGGTTTCTTAAAAATTATCGATTCATATTTAATAATTTGTCGTAACATATACACAAATTGATTATTTTCTGAGATTTGTATTACAGTGAATAGATCATGCATGCACAATATGGCATACGAATGATAAAAATAATTTTGTAACAAATATATGGTATTCTATAGCAACTAAAATTTTTGTTATATAATAATATACAAAACCGTTTTTAAAAATATAAAAAATATCAGAGAATCTTAAAATGCTTTGCTATTATTTTATTTATTTTTACAAAATTGGTGTCGTTGAGAGCTATGAAAATTATGTTAAATTCTAAAATATTGAATGTATAATATTATAACATCTTTTGTTTATATTGTCATTGAACATAAAATTTTTATACTCTCTCTCTGTCTCTTCTTGTCTCACACTTGAATAGTAAAAAGAACTAGTTTGGCAGCAACGGTGCAATATATCGACACAGAATTACGCCTGGTTGATTTTACCTTCTCTGAGAGTTTATTTCCAGCAACGCGGCAGAAATAGATGCATCTGCGGTGGCTTACCAAAACATCCCCATGTGAGATCTGATCGTTTTCCCATTATCGCGTTTTATGATAATTGAAGATTAAAGAAATTTTTCTTAAAGCAGATATATCTATCTTCACAAAAATTCTTAAATGTTTATTTATAATAATTAGAATCACATTAATCATGAGTATCTACTGTGCTTCTGATCTTGCTTCAGAATGAATTAAATAAAAATTTCATAAAAAGTCGATAAAATCTACATGTTCTAACATGTGTGCTATAAATATTTCGTTTATCTTCATCGTTCGCGGTATTGAATATTTTATCGGAAACGATTTACTGTGACTCTCAATATTACTTTATGATGATATTATAAAGTGACATCAAAGTGAAATAATAGTGAAATAAATTTCCTCTCTCTGCAGTTGTAGAGAGAGAGAGTATTTCAAATCTTTGAGTAACAAAAATGTAGTAATTTAATTTGCTAAAGAAAACTATTTGAATAAAAATACTTCTTCAGTAATTTAAAATTAATAGATTTCATTGATAATTGAAGAATATTTTGTCTTTCTAAAATTAAATAATTTTTACGCCTTTTCGTCAGTTTTGGCAGAGCTATTCCAGAAAGCAGCATTGCATATAAAACCGATTTGCTAATTTTAAAACTGTCTGCGGAATTTAAAATTGCGAAAATAATTTGAAACTCGAAACGTATTGAGCTTCTTAATTCTAACAAGCAATTAAGCCTTTATCTATGTTCATCATTAAACTAATCTTTATCATTTGACAAAGCTAGTTTTTAAAATTAATTTAATGATTATGTAGTGTATTAAATCTATAAAATCATTGTAATATGTATGCTATTTTTTGATATTGTATTTTAAATTTCACATTTATAATATTCCTATAACAAACTACTCCATAGAATTAATTAATTAAAAAAGCTGGATTACCACACAAAAAGACACCACGTTCTTTACACACACATACACATACACATATGTCCTAACAGGGTGCAACCGGTGGTTTCGGCCTTGAAACCATGTGTCAGCGAATGAGAAGAAATGGAATTAACGTAATAATTCACCCCGAAAAGACTCACCTCGGGACAATGTATTACTTTGTCACAGATCGGCAAAAAAACTATCTACGCAATCTCACGTAGAAATTTACGAACACACGCACAGCAAATGCACCATTACTTTTGCACAAGAGTGCGAAAAATGGTATATCCTAAACCCGGCCGAAAGCTTTTTAGGGGGTGCCGAGTCTCCTGCGCTTTCCTGACCGCTTTAAATCGGACCCCCGCGACGGAATATCTGTTGGAGCTCGCGGAACTATGCTGAGCGGAGCTACGCCGAGTTGAGCGGAGCGACGACTATTTTCAGCCTCGAGCCGAGCAAACCGCGCCGCTCCGCTCCGCGCGTTTCGCATCATAGCTGAGAAAACCTCGAAGATCCGTAATTGCGACGTTGGAATTACCTGTAAGGGCTGTCCTAGGAATTATCTATAAGTGACTTTTTAATATATATAATAAATTGAAAAATATAAATAATTTTTATACAACATATTAGTTCTTTAATTTATGTTATTTGTTTTTTGAAACAAAATTATTTTTTGCATTGTTCCTAAAATTCATTTATAGCTATATTAACATAAAACTCGTGATAATGATAATAATAAGTATAACAATAGAAAATATATATAATTATAACATTTGCATTTCTTTAAATTTTGAAATGATTAGTATTTATTGCATTAAATTTTTTTAATTGTAAGATATTATACTTATTACAGAATTGTGTTTTCAATTTATATGGTCTGTGTAATTATACATCGTGTAAGACATTGTAAGAAGTTATTTACGTACTTATGTATGTACAATATATTGTACACATTTTGATTAAATAATTTATCGAGAACTTGTTGATAACTTTTATATCGAATTTGTATGTTTTAAATGAACTATAATATATATTCAGTATGTGTAGAATTAAAACGGCAGAATTTAATTCGATTAACACAAAAACTATCGCGTTTAATAAATTTGACGATGTTTGGTTTATAACATTCTCAAATTTCAGCAAACGACTATTATAATCTTAATTGTACCTTGCTTTTGTTGCCATCGATCCTTGCCAAGATTTTCAACATAATATATCATTGTCACGGGGTCATGCGATAGAATGGATTCTTCAGGAAATAAATAAAATGTATAAAACACTATATACTCTATAATCATTCTTTATTGGTAACATTGAAGAGCATTAATCTAATTAGAATTTGCATATTTATGTACTATTAAAAATTCGTAAGTGACTTATTAAAAACTTATATTAATGTCAATGATTATCAAACAATTGTCTATTGAACATCTGTAAGTTTTTAACACACGAGCTACATGATTGTCTTTAAACTTGCCGCCATCAGTTCCTTGCAACTTGCAACTCATGGCGCAAAAGCTGACGTGTCTCGATAAAAACAGCTGATTGAACACGATTGATGCCAGTGACGCCACAGTTCGTGCAGCATCTTTGTTTTTTTCGTTATTAGGTTAACGTCTCGTTAATTAATAAAATAATGTTGGGAAAAATAAAAACAAAACAGGAGAAAAGCGGTGGTAAGTGCGAGAATTATCTTGAAAATAAGTACAATTGCGATAAACGTAAGAAAATTGAACAGTATTATAAAGATTTTCTCGAGAGGTTATGTTTGTTATTTATTTGCTATTTAGCAAGCAACATATAAATTATAAATTAATAAAATTAGTCACGATCGATAAATCTGAATTGTTAAATAATTTTTGTATTTGTAAAGATTTTGTTTTCATCTCTGGTGAACATTTATCTCGAAATTTTTCTTATAATTAAAAAAAATGTTTATATAAATTTTAGAATTTATGAATGGCTATTTAGAAAATTTCTTAGATTTTCTATATTATTTCTCAGATCTTATTCTTTTCTCTTTCTTCTTTAGAACATTGCTAAATATTAACTAAAGTGGCATTAAATATGATTATGTATTCCAGAGATTGTCGCATACAGCGAGACGGCAGTTGCAAACAATGCAGCAGTTGTAGAATATTGTAAAATCTCAATGGCAGCTTTATCGGGTGGCACAGCAGGACTACTAGGATTGACTGGGTTGTACGGATTCGGGTTCTATATCTTTGCAGTTTTTGGGCTATGGGTAAGATCTATATTAGAATTAACAATAACTGTACATAATGTCACAAATCATGTTTGTAGGCGATGCTGTTGATGAAGGCTGGTGGCCAATGGAGGAAATATTTCATTAGCAGGCGACATCTCTTGACCAGTGGATTTTTTGGAGGACTTTGCGTATCCTTTAGATTATTTCTGAAAGAATAGATTTCTCTTTAATTTCTTTGAAGTAAAATCTTACTCAAAAAGTGAAAGTTGAGCCAGTCTTGAAAAAGATTGTCTCAAATATCAATTTTTGAGTAATATTTCACTCTTCAGAGTGAGATTTACTCTAAAGGTTTTAAAGAGTTTATATTCAGAGGCTGATCTCTATATACTTTTTTTCCTTAATATATGATTGCAAAATCTTCGACAGACATACGTATTATTCTGGACGTATCCTTTTTTACAATATAAATGATACAAATAATATATTTCTATAAATGCGCAATACCCAAGTAGAACACGAGTCATGTGACATCAAAATGACATTAATGACTTCAAAATTATTACTGAGTCTCACTTTTCAATCAATCACTATTTATTTTAACATTATCATGACTTGTTCTACTTGATTATTTCTACTTAAGTACCGATATGCTATAAATTTCTTAATGATTCCGATTCAGATTTTTATATGGGATGGTTCATGTCTATTGAAAAGAGAGTGGATGGCTCGCAAGAATTGTGACACATCACGTAATTATTTAAATAAACGAAGTTGCATAATTATTATAATAAACCAGTCATTATATTTATATTATTTAAGCCTTTCGGATATTGACCAAAAAGATAATGAAGCGTTATTGTACACGTATATTGATATGTATATAGAAGACTTTTCATTAAAACGATCACTGGCAATTATTATCCAATATTTAAATGTAAAAGTAGGAAGACAATATAGGAGCTAATGTAATAGGGATATTACATAGGAGCTATATTCTTTATTAGATATATATATATATATTTGCATAATAAATTATTAATTACTGAATTACAATTTTTTGATGAAGATTAACATAAATCATATACAAGTACCTATACTTGCAACGACTGTGAACACATTTACGTAAATAATTAGTCATTTTAATCACCAGAGCTGTTAATATTTAAAATAATATTATAGTTATATATAATATTATTTTTAATTAATCATTGAAATAAAACACTTAAATTTATTCATGTAAAATATAATATTTTCTTTTTAAAATATCTTCAATAAATGAATATTTTAAGTGCTTTTTAACGATTTTTGTGTCAAACGTAATTTCCAATAATTTATTGCATTTTATATTTTTATTTTACTGTACATGTTTATTTCTGCGTACATTTGTTAATTCTAAAGTTATTCTAAAGTAAAAGAATCTTCTCACGCACTAAAGAAAAGAATAAGAAATCGAGATATACAAATTTCGTTAATTTGTACTTAACATGCTCACATTTTCTACTTCAGTGTTTAACACCTTTATTCATTCGCTACTAGCTAACACTCGCTACAAAAATGGAAACTTATATTTGTGTATTATTAAATAAGATCCAAGTCGTACCTATAATATGCTTAATAATTATATGTATAGCTTACTTTGATATGTGTTAAAAATCCACGGAAAAACCTTGATTTCGGCAGTGAAAGTCAATCGCATTATACGAATATACTTAACACAGGGACGAGTAATAGTTCTTACGAACTGATAGCATTCTTATGTCCATTTTCACCAATGTGTAGATTAACTTTAATCTCGGTTTTTATTCTCAGTTTAACTCGCCTTTTATTCTTTTCTACTTTTGAAAATTAGAAAAAGGTAAGTAGCGTTAAACCCGTGATTAAAAAGTTTATCTACGTGACAGACGAAGATTAGCGAAATAGCATGATTCTGCTGAAATCTGTAGAAAGACTTCAGATTTTCGTCTCAGAAGTTTGTTCATACACTCCTGGTTCTTCTCGACAGCTCTCGGTGGCGATTTCGAGAGGCCTTCCAGTTTCCAAACCTTCCAGTCTCCTTTCCTCGTCCATCTTGTCTAGTTCCGCTTTGCTTAAGTGATAAACTATTCCAGCTCCGTAACCATCGCCCAAAACGTTGATCGAAGTCCTGATTCGATCCCTTGAAGCAAAACGATTGCTCTAATTTTACCGATCTAATCAAACCTGCTATTCTCAACCGTCTTTTATCGTCAATTATCGTCGACTAATAATAATAATTTCTAATAAAATATAAATATTTAGATTAATATTCTTCAATAATCAGTAAAAAACGATTATGAGCGTACAATGTATGGTCATTATAACAGTAGACATGTAACTTACAACATCCAGTCGATAGCGAATAACAGGGAAATATCGTTTGTAGGAAGACCTAAAGCAGTCAGCACCAACAGCATGGTGACTAGAGCTGCACTGGGAATACTTGCGGCTCCAACGCTCGCCAAAGTAGCCGTAAGGCTAAAAGAAGGAAATTTTTAAGCAAAGAATAGAATTTTTTAAATTCATTAATTAGGTACACATTAAACATCTTTTCTTCAATTATAACATGAAAGAAATCATGTTCACGAAATTTATGTACCTAACAGTAATGACTTCAACGAATCCCAATGAGATTCCATTCAATTGTGCTATGAAAATTGCGGCCACGGCTTCATAAAGAGCTGTTCCGTCCATATTTACCGTGGCACCGACTGCCACAACAAAGCGCGTCACTCGTGGATCGATCTTATTGTTTTCTTCGAGGCAACGGAAAGTCAGTGGCAAGGTTGCAGCGCTATAAACCCATATATCGATTATATCATTGCTATTCATTTAAAAAGTTAGTGTCATGCCGGAAAATTCAATTTTATATACAACTGACTCTACAAATATAAATAAATATATCATGATTTTCTAATTAATTTCGAAATAATCTCTAATTATAATTCTTGAATTAACTTTTAAATAGTGATCACGAAGACTTAAGATCAATTTTAGAAATGTTTCCAATTATTACCTCGAAGCAGTTCCCAGTGCTGTCACCCAGGCTTGCATCATACCTCTAAAGAACACTGCTGGATTCTTTCGGGTCATAAACCAGTAGATCAGTGGTAGCGTGATGATTGCGTGAATCATCAAGCCTAATACGACTGTTACCATATACAGACCCAACATCTGAGCGGTTGCCGCCAGATTTGTGATTGACATGATTTTTCCAGCTATCAGACACATAATTCCGAACGGAGAATACCTACAGCGATTGCCAATTGCATTGTCGTAAAAGAGAAAATAAAATTGAACGATGTTATATACTCAATTATTTATTAAACTTATGCTTGTGTGAAATGATCTTTTGTTTCATACCAAACGACGACGATCGTGACGAGTTTCATGATAATCTCATTCAACACGACGAAAAAGTCCACCATCAGTTTGCCGCGTGGTCCTATCTGTCCGGCGAGTACACCGAAGATGATGCAAAACACGATCATACCCATCACATTCGTGCCGTCCTTGTAAACCAAGGTCGGCTCCACTATATATTCGCTTTGATTCGCGCTACCGATCATGACCACCTTTTTCTTCACATAGGAGGTCTGAACCTGCTGAAAGCACGCTTGCACCAGGTTCTCCGGCACCATGTTTCTGAGAACGAGAGATATTATACAAAAGATTTCGAACCCTCAAATTGTGACCATGGAGCTATAAAGGCTGGTCTTCCATACCGAATTATATCGAGAATTGCATCTACAGTAGAAACTTTTGTCTCCTCGGCTCTCACCACCGCCGTGGCCGAAGTTTTGATCTGCGGATTACCCGGATGAATCATCAGCACCATCGCGATACCCACTATAGCGGCGAGAATGGTCGTTATTGAATAGTACGTTAATGCTCTGAATCCTATCCTTCCTGACCTTTGAACATCCAGCTGTGCCATTCCTGAAATAAGTAAGTAATTGCTTGTACCTCGGGATGAGGGAGATAAGTAGAGACAAGTCGGAAAGTTTTAAACGTATAATAGATTAATTTTCTTAAACTTTTTACGCAATTCATCTTTCCTTTTTTTTCTTCATATTGAAAAAGAAAGAGGAAAAAAGATGAACGCTTCAAAAAGTTTAGCTAAAAAGAACAGGTATAATATTTTTGTTATTTCAACACAAAAACTCTGACATTTAATATCAAATTTGTTTTTAATATCTACGTAATTGAATTTTGTCTCTTGTTCTCTTTTTTTTACTCATTATCTGCTTAAAAACGGATTGTCAGTGAATTATAATTACCAGATATTAACGATGAGATGATAAGTGGCAAGATAAACATCTTCAACATCCGCATAAGAAGCTCTCCCGGGAAGCTGATGAGGGTTATAGACTGTGGTGCAAAATCTACCAATCGACCCAGAAACCCGAGAACTAGACCCATCAAAACTCCAGCGATGGTTAGTGCCAGAAGCAAGTTACTTCCCATCCATTCTATCACCTACATTCCTCACAACGCGTAATCAATTTTAATAAGCCACACTGCGTGATATTTTTCTTTCAGGAACAAGTAAAAGATTCTGACATGAAATTATAGTTTTGAGCACGATAGGTATATCCTTTGATCATTTTCATCGCGAATATAATCGAGAAATTAAAGTGAAAGTAATACAAGAAGATCGCGCACTAAAAATTTTATTGATTCTATTATAAAAATTTGATTTTTGAAAAAGTTTACTGACCATCTGTAACCTATCAAGCGCCGTCACTTTGTGCTGCGCTTCGGCCTCGACTTCTTCCTCGGATGTCATCTTCTCGATCTCTTCTACGCACGACCTGGAAGTTATTCCAGGTAAAATGCAGCCCGAATTTTTTTGGTAAAAGTATAAGAAATCTTTTTACGTATGACTGCCGCTCTCCTTAGCCTCCGTCGAGGCTCCCCGGAGAACCGCAACCGCGCCGGAAATACGTTGTCCCAAAGACATCCTTCAGGCTTCCGAAGACACGTCGCTTCAAGATTTTAGGTGAAACGTAGCACAAGGAATGTCCAAATAGGCCTCGCGAGTCTTCATCCCGCGGCCTTTATAACTGCGTTATGCCTTTTCACGATGCGAATCATCTTGATTTTATTTAGCCACTGACGTCCACAATTTTTCTAGATTACCAAGTATAGAAGAAACGTGTATTATTCACGATATTTCTTTCATAAGTTTGTCTGTGTGTCAGAAATTATTAAAGAATAAAAACTTATTGCAATTAAATTACTTAAAGCTCTACAGAATGAAAACTATTCTAATTTTAGTATACTCTCTTTAACAAACTTCTTTTTAATGCAATTAAATTATTTAGAGCTTTTCTAGCGTTAAGAAAAATTTTATTTTTAGTATTTTCTTTAGTGTGAACTTAAAGAAAATGGCAAATTTCAAATGCTTTCACTGTTGTAGAAAAAAAAGTGTGCTTGTGAAAATCCGTGATTATCCTCTTGAATTATCACGATCCTCCGCTTCGCGCTTTCTAAAAAAAATCAAATTCGATAAGCGAACAGTTTTTCTCGCGAACGATTATCGAGGCACGTGCGAACCGTTCGGTAGCGCATCGCGACACACGACGATCCTTTCGCGTGAACCACCGGGAACCATCAGGGCAAATTGCACAAGCGCACGGCGTAACGCTGGCCCCGATGATGACGCGGGAGGGGGGGGGGGGGGGAGGGAGGAAGGGGTCGAGGGGATAAGGCCCCGAAGGAGGTCACAACCGATCTATTACGTTCAGGATCATTGCACCGCGTCAGTTGCGGGCGCGAACGACATCCGCAGAGCTTCCGACGTGCTTTTCGTGCGCGCGATATCGACTGCCGAGAGATCGGATAGATCTGCCGCCGCGCCGGTGTTCTAGGTATCGCGCCGCGGCGTTGGGATCTGCCTTGCAATCAGGCCGATAATGTGCCCCATCCAGGAAGTTGATTAGTGCGTGCGTCGAGGGAGGCCCCGGGGAGACGAAAGGCACACACCGAAAGGGGAAGGGGGGGGGGGACACACGGCGAGATGAACGGAGATGTGTCACGCAGAGAAAGAGAGACCGGTAGATCACAGGAAGAAGGCACTCATCGCGACGGGTCGCACGGCACCGAATAATAAACGCCGAAGGGAATAAAAATGCCGCTGCTCGGTACATTTCGTAAAAGTCGCTGCTTAACGAACGTAAGGCATTTTTAATTGAAGCTTGAGAAAATTAAAGAAACGTTAAATTGGAGGGAAATCCTTGCCGATGATATCGGAGCATGAAGAGTACTGGACACTGAGAGATCTCGTGATACACAGCAATATTAATTTTGAGAAATGTCTGTAAGGCTGAAATACGAACGTTAATAGATACAGAATAAATACATATAATATTACATATACAATATCAATCCAATATATAGATAAGGTAATACAGACTTTCAACGCTCATTATGTAGGATATTATAATATGTAGGATGTTTATTTAAAAGACAAGTGTTTTACATCATTAATTTCAGGTTTTATTGTATTTAAAAAAAATTATTATTACATATTAATACATATATTATTATAATAAGTGATATTAGTAGTACACGCACATGACATAAATCTTTTATATTAACAATAATTATATAAAATTTGAATTAAATTAAATTGTTATCAAAATTATATTAAATTATTCACATATTTATTTATTAAGCAATTTTTTTAACTTATATGTTCTTTTTTCTACCTAATTTTTCTACTGTACTACTCTGACCAAAATTACGCGTATCTAAAATTTAAATAAGAGACATCTTAAAAACATATGGTATCTTTCTATTAATTTCATAAAACGTCTTCGAAGATTTAAGACATCTTTTAGAAAAATTAATTTAAGACATCAAAATGTTTTCTGAGATTTTACTTATAGTGTGAGCCATATATTATAATTACTATATTCTATCCAGCTTTTGCAAGCATATTTCGATCGAAATCATCGGTTTCCAAACTTTTGTGAACCTGACAGTGATAAAAGAGTTACGCGGAAATATTTGTGCGTAATTGTTTTAGATGCATGTAGGATACGACCATTTACAAGACCCCTTTGTATATCCGTTGGGAAGTAACCTAATTCCTCTAGCAATGACGGCTATATGAGTGACTATATATAGACTAACATCGGGTTTACGGTGGTAGTATAATACGAGGACAAATCGAATCTCCCCACGATAACGCGTTTAACATCCCGTAACTTCTGAGCGAAAGAGCGAGCCATTTGAGATAGAATTAATTAATGCGTTCGAGAAAATTGAGTTACAATTGTCGTCGCTCGTGCATTCCATTTGCATAAATTCGACTTTATTTCCTATCTATCTCGTGCAATTTATTTTCTTTTTCGTAAATAATGAACAACATTTCTTTTTCGACATTTGCATCTTGAAACAAATTATAAATTAACTGAAATTATTTTCTTAAGTTATGTTTATAATTGTTGCTGACATTTTAATTTATTATAAGTACAAAGCAAAATGCTTATTATGTAGAATTAAATTTTTTCGATTAGTTGCTTCATTCTAAATTCTGTTAAATATATAATTATTAAATATATAATTCAGACAAAATGAATATATAATTATATTTTCTATAATCCACGTACACACAAACGTTTCGCGGTTAAGGTAATCAAATCATTTATCGTTTAAATAATTAATTATTATGTTGTATAATAACAAATCTGCGGTTAAAAGAATGATTTAATCATCAAAGATAATAGATTAAACTAAATCAATATATAGTGCTATATATTTTGTAATACACCATATATAAAGCCTATTCTAAAATGTACTTTTTGTTTCCTATTTCTTAGCAAAAAAATACAAGTGTCGATAAATCGATCACAATCAGAGAGAAAAAAGCAAGAAACGGCAAACAAAGAGCATATTGTAGAATAGATTTAACTCGCTACGGTATGTTCTGTTATACTTACGTATGAATGCAACACGCGTTCTCAATTTACCCGCGTTTCGCACGCGACGGTCACATGGTCATCACGTGGTCCCATCACGTGGTTTGCTCCATCAAGGAAAACAAAGCAGACGAAAATTTCGCACGTGTTGCATACTTGCATGTTGTATGATTGCATCTTGCAATCTGCATTTGCTTGCATGTACCATTGAAGAACACGCACGTTCACGCTCGCATTCGCGATGTCTATGGATTCCAAACGTGAGAAATACTTTCTGTACAATACCTTGTCGATCCTGCTAAAGGCCGTGGAGAAGACCCGAACGACTGTAGATCTGAGGAACGAGGCGACGATAGACGGCATCATCGAAAATGCGGACGCGTAAGTAAAGGATTTCGTTTTCCGCTGTGATGTGATATTATCGCACGTGTTGGGCCTTTTAGGTTTTAACTTACTGTGTTAGTGTTTATCTTTTTCTAGTTCTAAGAATTCTTAGAATTAGAAAAAGATACAAAGAACATCGAATCGAGATTAAAGATTAAAGTCGATCTTATAATTGATGAAACCAGGTCTTATTGAGAACTCGTTGTTGTATTAAGAAATTCTAGGTCTTATTGAGAGCTCGTTGTTGTATTAAGAAATCCTATATGCTCTCCGTCGCGATTTTTACGATGAAATCCATATTAAAAAATCGACCATAGATGTCCTTGAATTCTTTCCTCGAATATATACCTGCAATTCAATTCCGAAATTAGAGCTCTACCCGGTGACTTGTCATATTTCTGAACATGCCGCTCTCGACTCTCGTTCTCATTTTACAGATACATGAACATCGTGATGAAAGACTGCGTGTTTACGGATCCTCGTGGAGACTCGTTCAAATACGACATGTTCTTCGTGCAGGCACGAAACATCCGCAGCGTACACGTGCCAATGAACGTGAGTACATCGAGTAAATCCTGTTCTCTCCTTTAACGATGACTAGGAATCTCCGCCGTGTCGAGGATCTTGCCCTGGTTTGGCGAGAGTCGTGAAACGTACGAATGATCGACCGTTTAGGTTATGTTACGTTTCAAAACAAGAAAACCGATGATCTTCGCTCCTCGGATTACGTAGCGTCCTTGCTGAAGCATCTATGGCTAGGTTTATGTCTCGGGTCTTAACCTTAAGATCCTAAAATTCAGTCAATAAAGCTTGGTAGCTTTATTGACTAACTGAAATTTGTATTCCGAAAATTGTATTGGCTGAATTTTAGGATTTTAGGGTTACGATCGAATTCAATTCACTTATTTAATGGCACTGAATCCCAGGAACTGGGAAATCACACGGCCAGAACGAAAGTTCAACGAGTAGATTCTATGTTCAAGTGAGTAATCTTACATGCTCTTAATCAAGCAAACGAAGTCACTCTACCAAGCAATCCTCAAGCGGACGAGTTAATTCTACCAAAATTGAGTTGAAATATATGGGGAGCAGGCGGATTCGAACCCGGATCCGCAGATCACGAGTCCGATGCCTAACGTGAGGAGCCACACGACTCCCCAGGGTTACGATCGAAGCATAAACCAGGTAGAAAGGTTTAAGCGGGGAGCACAGACTTTTGCATAACGCATAAACCATATACATAAAGAATTTGATTGGTCCATTGACTCATGCATAAGAAAATGGACCAATGAAATTCCTTATGCATATGCTTTATGCGTTATGCAAAAGTCTGTGCTCCCCGCTTTAGAGTTTAGGCAGCTCTGGTTTAGGATATCTAGGGTGTTTTATACCTCAGGGTTGCACAATCTGGCATGGAATATTCCTGCGATTGCCGGCTCATAATATTCATACCTGCTGAATTATTCAATTGTATCATGCTAACCTAACGTACATTCATTGCCTGATATGACAAATGCCGGTAATTGCACTTAAATATAAATGATTAAAAACCTGGGTTTTCATCTTACTGTCAGTTTGTACGAGCATGGACGTTTTGTATGCAAACGAGTGAAACAAGTAACTGGTAAAATAGAAATACTTCCAGGTACGACGATTGTGTATTCGATTTCTAACGGTCGGTACAGTTTTGCGTGTAGTAATCCCACCAAAAGCGACATGGACACGTTCAAGTTTACGGACTATGATTGCATCGGTTTCGACCTGGATAACACGCTGCTGCGTTACAACGTGACGAATTTGGTGCGCATGGAGTACGAAATGCTAGCCAGATTCCTGGTGGATAAACGGGAATACAACGAGAGTCTATTAAAGCCGCTGACAGATGATGACTTGGATTTCATGCAGAAAGGATTGTTGCTTGACTTGGAAAGGGGAAACCTGCTCAGGATAAGCCCAGATGGTGTTATTCGCAGAGCGTGTCATGGCACGCGTTTGTTAAATATGGATCAAGTAAGGGAGATATATCCTGAACAGAAATCAGAGCTCACGGACACCTTCTGTCGCGATATAATGGCAACCTGGAATGGTCCTCTGTCCGAGAAAGTTAGGAGCTTGCTGGATTATTTCGATATAGTGACGAGTCTCGCGTTTGCACGGGCTGTAGACGCACTGGACAAAGAACATGGATCATCCTTGGACAAATACAATATCTGGCCTGACATATTAGCTGGGTTAATGTATATGTTCTTTAGAGAGCACTTTCAATCAAGCAAGGGAATTTTTGGACACATTAAGAGAAATCCGGAGAAATATCTACATAAATGCAACTTGAACACAATCTCGTGGTTGAAAGAAATAAAGAAAAAATCTGCGACTTTTCTTCTTACTGGATCGAACGCGGATTATGTGAATTTTATTGCGAGTTACGCTCTCGGAGAGGACTGGCGATCACTTTTCGATATTGTAATATGTTTCGCGAGGAAGCCAGGGTTTTTTATTAATAATCGGCCGTTTTTTGATGTTGTAAATAATATCGAAACCGATATCAGAAGTCAAGACTTAAAACGAGGTGAAATATATAGTCAAGGAAACTGGAATGAACTATTGGAATTTTTCACTCGTATAACAGGGAAAACTAATCAGCAGTGTTTATACATAGGTGATAATGTCATACAAGACATTTATGTACCAAATGCATTCGCACTTTGTGATACAATAGCTGTGATCGAAGAACAAATGTCAGAAGGAATGCTTCATCACTGTTTGACTCATCCAGACGAAAAGATTCTAAATTCAAAACTTTGGGGGTCTTATTTTTGTTTAAAAGACTCAACGATTAATATAGACTCTTTATGGGGCCATATAATAAAAAAACATGCAAAGTTGTGTATACCAGATATCAGTTTGATAACACAGAAATCATTAGAAGAACCTATTCCTTGTTTTGATAAGGATGGAAAGTTATATAAAGGATATTATCCTGCTATACCACTTAGTGTATCAGCCATGTAATATAAGAATGAAAATATTAGGATTATATATATTATATCGTTTGTAACAAAAAAGATAATTTTTTACTTAAGAAATTTTATAAGAGATTAGAAAAGTTTTAGGCTCTTAGCTTTTAAATATAATCTACATTCGTACATTTGAATTTTGAAAAACCGTAATCTAATAAAATAGAGCAACTCATTTTTATGTTTATGCGTTTTATCTAATTTAAGTATATTATTATTTAAGATACGGATTATCCCAGCTATCAAGCAACAGTTAAAGCAACTAAACCGATCTACATGGGACGTCACAGATAAAAAACGAACTTTTAAAAAAAAATATGCTGAGCAGCGCCAGCAAGAAGATCTTGCAGCTGTAGAAAACATTTTAGAGGATAAAAATACAACAAAAACCAAAACCACAAAAAATGAAGATAAATGAGACTCGTAAAGATTCTCTCTCTGATTTATTGTACTAATTTATTTAAAATTATTCATCTTAAGAAGTTGAATAATATATTAAGAATAGCGCATATGATTGATTTTGTGTATTGCCTATATAATCTTTTTTATTTCATTACTTATTTTTTTTTTATTTTAGTTGAATATTTGTACTTTTTAAACTTGACAGCTCAGTTTTATAATATTTAATGTAATTTATTTTTACATTTCTGTATTTTTATATAAAATTTTATTATAAAATATACATATACATTATTTAAACAAAAAAAATATTCTATCATACGATTCAACGTACGAATATTGTAATAAAACCCTTTATTCAATGTATAACATAAGCGAAAGGCCATTTTTAGCGAAAAACGCTTTAATAAAAGATAAGAAATTTTATATAAGATATATATATTAATAAGGAAGACATTTGTTATTTTCTTTCAACAGCAATAGCAATACCCATTCCTCCTCCTATGCATAAAGATGCGACTCCTTTTTTCTTTCCTGTTCTTTCCAAAGTATGTAACAGAGTGACTAGTATTCTTGTGCCTGAAATATAAAATTTTGTTATTTCTTTGGAATTCTTTTGAAGAAAGTTCGAACATCGATACATACCTGACATACCAATAGGATGACCTAAGGCAATAGCACCGCCATTTACGTTAACTTTCTCGGTATCTACTTCGAGTTCTTGAATACATGCGATTGCTTGTGCGGCAAAGGCCTCATTTAGCTCATAAAAATCCACTTCCTCTTTTGTCCAGTTCGCTTTTTTTAACTGAAAAAAGTATACATTTTAAATTATGATATCGTGTTAAAATAAAAGTAATCAAAACATAAATACTAACTACTAATTTAACGGCTTCAACAGGTCCAATGCCCATAACTCTAGGTTCAACTCCAACTTGTGCGAATGCAACGATACTGGCTAATGGTGCGATTCCTCTATTTGCAGCAGTTTCTTCGGACATTAGCACTACGGCAGCTCCACCATCGTTTATACCAGATCCATTACCGGCAGTAACTGTACCATTGATCTAAATGCAATATAATATTTCAGACGTGTTATATTCTTTCCATTATATATTTAAAAATATATAGAATATTATATGTATACACACACACACATACTGGTATAAATGTTGGTTTTAATTTTGCAAGTTTCTCTGTGGTTGTTCCAAATTTCGGGAATTCATCTTTAGATATAACAAAAGTTTCCTTTTTAGTTGTAAGGGTTACTGGAACAATTTCCTTATCGAAATATCCAGCGTTGATAGCAATCTCTGCCCTCTGCTGAGATTTGCATGCGTAATGATCTTGTTCCTCTCTGCTTATTTTATATTGTTCAGCAAGATTCTCAGCTATCAATTAAATAAAAATGGTAATACATAAAATTTAAATTTTCCTAGTGCAAAAATATTCAATTGTAATATTTTTGGTCTTGCCTGTGATTCCCATATGAATATTATGGAAAGCATCTGTTAGACCATCCTCCAATAGTGTATCAATTAAATCGCAACTTCCAATTTTTACACCAGTCCTGAGATAAGTGGCATGCGGTGCTCTACTCATAATTTCTTGACCACCAGCCACAACTATATCGCTTTCCCCTAATTTAATAGAAGAGTAACCATTCATTACAGATCTGTAAAATATATGTATAATATGTTACATCAAATATGAAAAGGGATTTTTCTTAACTTTATGTATAATACAGAAATGAATTTATTTTTTATAGCTGAATTAGTGTACACTCTGCATTTAAAGTGAAATGGATTTATGTTTAATATTTGGCAAGAGTAAGAAGGAAAGTTCTAATCCAATGCAGCGATAAAAAAAACAAATCTAATATCACAGGTAGAACAGGTGAACGTACTTTAGACCAGAACCACATAGCATGTTTATCTGATAAGCAGGTACATCGATAGGTATACCAGCATGTATTGCTGCTTGTCTTGCAGGATTTTGGCCTTCGATTGCAGAAAGTGCCTGGAAAAAAAACAATGTGTTATATAAATGCTTTATATGTATATGAATCTAATTGTACTTAAAAATATATTTATTTCTTCTAGAATTGTGAGTACCTGTCCCATAATGACTTCAGAAACATCTGATCCTTTCAATCCAACCCTTGTCAGGCATTCCTTGATAGCGATACTCCCCAATGCTGATGCTTTCAATGAAGATAAGGATCCACAATATGATCCTGCATTTACAGAACAGTAAATTTAATTATACAAATAATACAAATACAAGTTTCATATTTATAGCATCTGTAAGAATGATATTATGTAGAATCACATAAGATGCATATTTCACTTTGGTGCATAGCATGATTTTTAATATTAATACGTTATCTTTTTACACACATATTTTTTTTGTTCCACAATTATAGTATTTAAAAAAAAAATTTTTTCTACAACACATAGCGATTCTTATCTTTATATCGTGTTGCATTTTTTAATGTAATAAGATAGATTTTTTGTATATAATTTTAGTTGTACATCTGAAGAGAGCTGAATCAGCCGAAACATGTAATGCATGTAAATTTTTGTCGTTTTTGTTATAGTAAATTTTATAATTTTATTATTTTCTCTTAGTATATTTATTTGAATATATGTGATAAAACATTACTTGTTTATTTATCTGACTGTTACTTGCTTTTTTACATTATACAATTATATTTTTGAAATTAAGAATCCTGTACTTAATTAATGTTTTTATAGTATTTTAAATGTATATATAATTCTATTTAGGCTAGGCATTTAAAAAAATTTTACTTGAAAAACAGTATTTGTAATACAATTGTATTTTGTATTTTAAATACTAAGATTGATAATCTTAGTATTATTATTTGAATTATAAAATAGAAAATATATTCGATTTGAAATATGAAATGGAATTATATTACAAATACATATTATATTCAAAGTAAAAGTATTTCAAGTACATATGTCCAGTTCTGATTGCATTTCACAGATATAACCTGAATAAGTGCTCAAGAGAGAGGAGTTTGTTAAATTTTTATCGCTTATGGGATAATTTTGCGCAAAATATCGTCGAAATTTATTTCATTGACACTATTCAAATGCAAGTTCTGCAATTGTTCAAAATTCGATAATTAAAAATTGCAAATTATTATATGAAATTTTACTAGCTGCATGTTTCGTTATTAGTATTATTACCTATGGGTGTCCTTACAGCAGACACAATCACCACAGTGCGATCACTCATTTTACTACCGTGAACAAGCACAACTAAACTCCCAGAAAAACACACGAAGACTGCTACGTCTCGACTGCATAACGGAATTATATTAGTGCTGATGTCGTGTACCAGGAGCGGCTACATTGTGAAAGTGTGTCATGTCAAACATGTACCTGCGCGGTAGAAAAGCAGAAAGCAGAGGATTAAGGAGGGGAGCTCTTGACAGGACTGCTTCCGAGCCTTTCGTCATGTTTAAGAATTTTATAAAAAAAAGATACAGCTGATTGTATACGTACTACATAATACATATTGTATTTTACAAATTTAAACATCGAAGTTTTGCGATCGAAAATCGAGTGAATAGAACGTATGCACGTTGAAAATGATTAGATAAAACGTATGACGTAAAACAAATGATAAAGTTTGACAAATAATGACTTTGACATTGACTGAATAAATATGGAACAGGAAGAAATAATAGCTCCAATTGAACGCTACTGCAATGACGCAAGTCATTTAATTTTTTATTTTATGTAACATACTAAAAAATATATTAAAGCGAATTAAAATGAATTAACGTAATTGATATTATCTATCATATTTTTATATTTACCATTCGTACATATAGAAAAAATGATTTTGTTACACTAAAAAAAAAAACCTCGTAACAATTTTTAATCTAATAGATCAATTGTCCAGCTTGTCATGTGGTCTTATTTTGAATAATTTTTTATTGTCTTTTTCAATTTAACTTTTTTTTCGTGGCTAATGAAGGCTTAGTTAATTTGAAACATTCCTATTTATTTATATTTAAGAATTAATAAACTATTTGATCTTAATCTTTTATCATATGCTCTTTATTGACTTTCTTTTTATTTTTACTGAAAAAAAATTTTGGTTGAAAATTGACAAACTGGAAGATTCTGATTATATTAATTAAAATTCTGGTAATCTCGATAGTAATATAATAAATTTAGTCAGAAAATCTCCAATGAACTTTTAGAAAGACAACTACTGTGCATTATCACGATAAACTTTTTTGCGCTTTTCATTTATTGACTCTCAACTTTTTATTTAATAAGCTACATTTTTTAAAAATTTATATATATTTATATTTTGTTGTGTAATCGCATTAATTTTTTTTTGTTAACGGTCGTTTTTTAGATTATTACTGCTATGAATTTTTCAAAGACTAATGTTACTATTAAATTATTGACTTGCAACATTATGGTAATGGGAAGAAAACGAGAATACCACTATAAGTATATGAAGCAATATTGTAGATTTATAATTATTTTATAATAATGTATTTACTGTAACATTGAGAATAGTTTCGGACCCGATCGGTGCCGAAACATTTTACATTTGTAATTGTTTTTATCTTTATGTTTTAAATTAAACGTTCTTTATTATATAACTGGCTCTTAGCTCTTCAATTGTTTTATTTTATACTTACAGAGCCTTATTATTATTTATTATTTTTAATCAGAAAATTCTTTATCGTCAATTTTTAATCAGAATTCCAATCAGACTCTTTTTCCAATGTGAAAGATTTAAACTTAGCTGTGTAAATATAGATCTGAAAATAATTCTGCTGGACCAACAAAATATAATTACGTAGAAATCTCAAACATAGTGAACAATGCTGCAAACAGTGCTTTACACGATTTATACCGGTCATTAATACATGTATACATACGCAGTGCATCACATGATGTTCCAGTATCATGCAAACATTTTGTTACCTGGGAAGTTATAAAACTGAAAGACACACAATTGTTATAAACAATTATTTATTTGTCAATCGTGAAATTGAAATTTTCAAAAAAAAAAAAAAAAATCCTATGTTACTAAATATATGTATATATCTTTTTAGTAGCATAGGATTTTATTTTTTTTTTGGAAAATTTTAATGCAGATATATATGATATATATATATATATATATATCTCCATTAAACTAAACTATTACGCTATATAGTAAGTTAACTGAACACAAAAAATAATATAAGAAGATGGGTCAAAGAATACAAATGAGAGGTTGACAAAAGAGTTAGATGATAGTGTGTCTGTGATGAAATACAATGCTCGTGCGTATACATATAGTAAAAAATATCAAAAATAACAAAAAAGCAAACTTAAAACTTGGAATGAAACGGGCAAAAAATCAAACAGCAGTCGAGGTAAATATGCATAGCAATAACTCAGACAACACAAATAAAATATTTACAAAATATTTATAAGATTTATTTTAAATATTTTTATGGTTTTTTTTAGATTGCACAGATCAATAAACATTTATTGCAAACGTTATGAAATATTTATTTGTAAATATAATAGTAAAAATGCTATGAAAATACTTAATGAGACATTATGATTCAAGTAAAAAATACCCTTTTTTATCGGAGAAATTATTTATATTTATCATAAATATTACATAAAATATTTTTAATCTATATTTTAATAATATTTCGAATAAAACTTTATATAAAATTATGTATATTTTAATAAATATATATTAAATATTTATCATAAATATTCTAGAATATTGTCGCCGATCGACACTCGACCAGAGTTGTAAAAGAACATTTTTGGTTTAAACAACAATGTGTGTTTTTTAAAAATACAGTTTTAACGTTTTGAACATGTTTTAAATAGTATATCTATTTATAAAATATTTAAAACACATGCTTTCAAAAATGTTTAATCGGTATTTGAAACATATTTAAAACATGTTTTTTTTTTTATCAACTCTACACTCGACGTCAATTTAACAATGTACGTTGTCATGTAAGTCGCACACGTGCAACGTGTCTAATTATTGATAGACACGATCCTGCACGAGCCGACTGACAGGTGGGCAGATGCCTCTGCCTGCCTGCAGTAGGTGTCGCTGGCGCGGCGTGTATCGGAGCGCCGCGACGACGGCGACGGCGCGTTTGTTTTTACCCAGTGTGCATTGTAGGACGGTGACTGGTGCTAAGATGGCTGACAACAGGGAGGAGATTTCGGAGCTCGTCGAGAAACGAGGTATTTGTCGGCGCGTCGCGTCCTTTATTCACCGCGATCGGGTCGCGCCGCGAACGCCTCGATGTCGAGCGGTGCGTCGCGCGCCTCCGGACGGCGAGCCGTCGTCGCGACACGTCGTGTCGTCGGTGCATGCACGACCGCGGCCGCACGTCGGTCAACCGTGGGCCGCGCCGCGTGCCGAGGACCATCCGCTGGACGATCGCGCGCCCGAATCGAGTCCGATCTCAACCGACGGTGTTCCGCCGTTCGGGACGTCGTCCGCGTGACCCGCGACTCCACGGCGACGGCTGTCATCGTCGCCGTCACGTTCGTCTTCCTCGCCGCTCGTTTGTCGATCGGGTGTCACCAGGTACGCGCGCGTTTGACAGCGCGTTCAGTCTCGCGAACAACCTCGCGTACATACAAACGATAATAATTCCCGAGTCGCCGAGCTGATTACTCATTAAGGTCACGCGCCGACGGCCTTGCAGCTCGCGTCGCCGTGACGACATCCCCGCCGGTCGTTTGAGATTACCGTTATCTGTCTCCGTCTGTCTTTCCTCCTTCCTTCGCGATTTCTTCTCTTTTCTTTTCCTCTTACCCGTCACTATCTTTCCGTACCGCCGTCACGAATTTAACGCCGGCTGATTCGCCTTACACCTACGCGGATGTGCTCTCGCACTGTCGTGCGTGCACCAGTTCGGCACGTCAGCCGCAACGTGTTCTCACCGGCCCGTTCGTTGTTTCTTCGTCATCGCTGGATTCGTTAGCGAGCGCTATATTTGTGTTCTGTGCCGTGTTAACACGTTGGATACTACACGAATTCGATCATCCTCTGCAAAAATCTAAATAAACATGTACATACACGCGTCAGATAACGGATGCCTTTTCAATGAATACACCTGTTACCTCGCTTGATACTTGGACTGGTGACTCGTGTGACTCATTAATTCCCGTTTCTATCAGTGTAGATTAACTTTAATCTCGACTTTAACTTCAACTTACTTTCCGTCTTTTTCTTTAAATCTTAAAACTAGAAAAAGATGAAGGATCAGTTGGACCAAGATTAAAATGAAATGAGCATAAGGCTCGTTTTCACAGTATATGGTTATCTAAAGATTAAAGTAGGTTACCGAAAGATTCATCAATGAAATTCATGAATGAATTTCTTTGTCACCTTTAAGTAACCATATATTATGAAAATGGGCCTAAATAATGTAAATAAATTCTTTTGTCAAGAAATGCCAAGAAATGTCAAGACCTCAGTCGTAGTATTTGACGTATTAATTCGCTGCAGAGAATCATTTAAAAATATTGTATATCTGAAGAATAGTGTGCTTAATATTAAGTTTGGAATTTTAACTTAAATATATTAGTTATAAAAATTTATTATATTGAATACAGTGAAAAATAGTAACGTATTGTCTTTAAATAAATTTTTTTAAAGAAGTTGGAGAAAAAGAACTTTAACGTAATTGGAGGAATTTGTAATTCTGAACTATTCTGTGTACATATACCAAAGCAGTCGGAATGTTTATTGGTATCGAATTTCTTAAAAAGTGTTGATATAAAAGTTCTCAAGTTGCTTAAGTGGGTATAAATCGATATTGCGTTTCTTTATTTTTTAATACTACATTGAGCTATCGAATTGGTTATTTTAAGTGTTATGTCTCTATTTATATGTTCTAATAATTATATTGGAATACTATAAACTTTACTTTCACTCTATCTATATTTTTTCAAATTTTTTAAGTGAATTTAACAATATACGAAGGATGTCAAAAATTAACTTTTCAGTTGATTCAACAATTTTATTCAAATATTTTATATTATAAAATTGTAATTATGTATATCTGAGAATATTGTGTTAATATTTTATGTTTTAATTTTTAAAAGTGTATATATAATAATATTAAATTATTATTATCTGGATATTATATCCTAATTAAATACTGGAGTATTTTCTTTCTCAGAAATATATACTACAATATGAAACTTTATATAAAACAGACTTTAGTATGTACCGATCCAATGTAATGTAAGTGACCGAATTACCTATTAGATATCTATTTCGTATCTTAGGCAGCCCTATATTTCTTAGTTTATTCTTATTCTAATTTAGTGT